TGTCTCCTTTGCTGATGATGCCGCTTTCGAAGTCGGTGAGCATGGTCATCGTCGCATCGTCCAGCGCGGTGGTCCGTCGTACCAGCCCCTTGAACGGCGGGATCTTGGCCGCCGCGGATTTCAGCGCGTTGTCATGGATCTCGTAGAGGTCCGCCCACGCCTTGAAGGCGCCTATCTCGGACCTCGTGAGCTTGTACTTGGCCGCGAAGTCGCGCACAACCTTCTTGCGCTCGGCAACGTCTGTCGTGGCCTCGATGCGAGTGCGGAAGGACTGCAGATCGGGGTCGGCGAACTCGGGCATGTACCGCTCGCCCGTACGGGAGCCGTCCCACTTGCTCTTGAGGTCCGCGAGGAGCGTGGACTCCTCGGCGGTCAGGCCCTCGGCCTTGACGTGCGCCGGGATCGCGGCCGGCGGCTCGTACTCCCAGTCGGAGTCGGACTCCGAGTCAGAGCCTGAGTCGCTGTCGTAGTTCGCCCGACCCTCGTCGACGTTGTCTGCGAACGTGGAGAAGTCGCAGCTCAGGTCCAGGTCCGACAGGTCTCCCAGCAGGCTGCCCTGGCGCTTCTTCCTGGCGCCGCGGGCAATCTTTTCGCAGTTGAGGAAGCCGTTGTTCTCGATGTCTTCGAGCGCGACCTTCTCATCTTTTGTGGTCTTGAACACCTCGGGGTCGCCCTTGGGTCCCTTCTTGTAGATGCGCACCGCCTTCCCTCCGTCGGCGCTCGCGGCCTCCAGGACCTGGCCGCCCTCGACGGCTTTGGGGGCGAACTTGCCCAACAAATCGGGCAGATACTTGCCGGCCCCGAGCGCCTTCGCAGCCTCGACGGCATCGGCGACGGGTGCCAGGATCTGGACCACTTCGGCCGTCACTCCACCGGCTTTCTCGAGGTCGCCCTGGTACTTGAGACTGGGGACAGCCTCGCCGGTGTGGAGGCGCCAGAGGGTGTCACATCCTTTCTTGACGCGGGGCGCGAGGTCGCCCTTGAGGGCGTCGACGATGGCCACCATGCCATGGCAGAGGGTAACCTGGAACTCGCGCAGGTCGTCATCGAAGTGCGTCACGAAGTCGACGGCTGAGTTGATGATGGACTTTGCGAAGCCGACCCAGAACTGGTCCTCGGCCGGGAGCCAGCTCTCGTTGGGGTCTCCGAAGAGGGGATCTCTGGCGTTCTGGCGGCCGTGGAGGAGGAGCTCATGGCGTCGGTGGAGGGAGGTTCGCGGATAGCTACGGCGCAGGCGCTGGGATGCGGACTGGGACGGCGGGGGCCCGGTCGCGAAGACGATGCCAGGGAACAGGCCTGACAGGCATGCGGCTCCCGCGGGGTTCGCGACGCAAGGGCCTTGACTTACACGCCTCAAACAACCTTCGATGGCGTCGTCACCGACGAATTGCGTGGCATTGGGGCCCGCGGTCTTGGGGAGGTCGCCGCAGAAGGCCGGGAAGAGGTGCAGCACGCATTCTCGGGACTGTGGCGTCGCGCTGCAGTTGGACGGGACGGTGTTCGCGGTCTTTGCGACGAGGCAGTCCATGCTCCGCGGGGCGTAGGTGACGTCGTCCGCCATACATCCGGGCAACTCGATCAGGTCCACGGGGCCGGTGGGCATCTCCGCGCCGGCGATGGTAGACGCCCGGTCCGCGGCACGCGCCTCGCTGGACCGGACGACGCTGCCGGAGTCGGCTTCGTAGAAGCAGAAGGCGGACACGTCGTCAGACTCGGCCCACCCGATGGCGTCGCCCGCGTTGGCCGGGACCGCCAACCGGTCCAGGCCCTGCTTGACGATCTGGAAAGGCCCCGACGCCGCAGGCGCCCGCCAGGCCTCCACCCAGAACGTCTGGTTGTCCGCGTACGTGCACGGCGTCGTTGTGACGGTGGCGCCCTGGTCGTCGGATATGGACCAGCAGCCGCCGCCGGCCGCGACGGGCTCGGCGTTCTGGATGCCGGTGCGGGTGGCTGAGTCCCAGCGCTCGCCGGCTGTGGTGTGGAAGCCATTCGTGAAGTAGAATGTTCTTCCTGCGTTTGACGGTTGTTCGGCGCCCGCGACGACGGTCTTGTCAGTCGAGAAGACCGGGAGGTATGTCGAGTTTGCGGCGGCGTCGGCGTAGGTCTCGGGGCATTGCGTTGCTTTGGTCATGAACGCATGCATGCGCATGCCGACTGTCTATAATCACATTGTCAACCTTGGTGGAGTGTTTGTGCGAAGCTGTTTGGGACTTACCCAGTCTACCTGGGCTGCAGAGGCAACCGAGACTGTAGCGGCTAGGGCGGGAGAGTATAGCGATGACTTCATCTCGAGAGGGAAAGACAGTTCTGAAAAGGAATGACAGTGATAATGAATGTAATTCGCGCTATTGGCGTAGTCGGCGTAATGAGCCTAAATAGTGTATTGAAAGATGAAAGACCTGTTGCTGCTCTTAGCCCAACTGACATACCCATTGTCCGCTTGGGAACATTTATACATCTTTTCTCCAGTCAACAGGAAGCGGCAAAGCTGCTTCATGATCGTCAACTGTCTACCTCTCACAGGACAGTCACGTCAAATAGAACGAGAGAGGCGGTGCCATCAAAGTTAGTCTTTACATAGCAGCACGAAGGTTGAAGATAAATCAAGGGGAATGAGATCATGCGTAGGCTCTGTGTGTACCAGCCAAAGCGCAACTACAGGGTGCCATGTAAAGATCAGAATAGTCGAACCAGCGTATGCGGACGGGGATTTCGGTTGACCGAGAGCTCTCGGCTATGTACTGTCCTCCCCTTTGGAGCACTTTATGAGCCGGCCAAAATACTTATTTTAGCAACTTTTCTAATGCGTACCAACCTGAATATGCATATTTTCTACATTCTGTAAAGCACACCATGAGTCGTGGAGGCAGTTTGTGCCGTTCGTCCCGTTACGCGGTCTGCTCGGCTTTCTCGTATTTGCCGTCTCGAACTCGGTGGTGATCTTGGTGATCTCCACCTTTTGGTATCCCCTGCGCAAGATCAAACAACGTAGGAGACGAGAATAATAGAAAGTGGCGCTGTCTCGTTTTCGGATTGCTACGTCGCCTGTGGGTCTGCCTGTTGGAAGTTCCAGAAGTATATGGTAAATGGTAAATGGTGTAGTTGCGCTCTGACGACTGCCCTCCGGAAAAGTCTACCTATTTAGTTCTGTAGAGTCAAGGGTTAGCGAACACTACCGGGAGGTTAAGACTGCATGATAGAATGTGCAAGGACCAACAGGAAGAGCTACAAATACGAGTAAGAGAGACGTTTGGAGTAGCTAAGGGCAATAAAAGGAAACAACCATGGATGAAAAAAGTGAGCGAATGAATGCTCGTAAGAGCCTTGGCAAGGAGTAGGTCTTAAGGCGCGAGAGCAAGACAACTTGGAACATCAGCAATATGCTTCATAAAGTTCCTATTCACACATATCATGGATTCCATAGCTTGAGTTTCCATTTTTCAAACATACTGTTCGATTCTCTAGTCCAAAACCTTCAAGTACCCAAGAAGGTGAACATTGTATGATTGCTGGCATTGCATGAGTCTCTCTCCCCTACGACTAATAAAACCTACCGACCCTGCTAAGAAGAAGCCTGGTCCACCTTGATGAACAAATCCTTCTGCGAGTCAAGGTAGTCAAACGCCCCCAAGGGCACGCCCAGGTGGCGCAAGATGCAGTACGCAGAGCCCAGATGAAAGTGGAAGTTGGGGCACGCGTACTGAATCGCGTACGTGTAGCCCGTGAACTTGAAGTTGCCCATCTTGGACTCGAGGATGACCTCGGCGTCCTCCTTGCCCTCGAACGACTCGGGCGGGATGGCCTTGAGGATGTCGACGGTGCGGTCGACACGGGACTGGAGCTGGGGGAATGTGGTCTCGTCGTCTGCGAAGAAGACGTCCTCCTGCTTGCCGAGACGGGTTGCCATGAATTTTGCGGTGTTGGAGCAGGACTGGACCTGGTAGTCGAGGCTGTGGGTAGGGGTGATGTTAGTCAAGGGTGGGCTTTGCGGGGAGGAGGTGGGTGGGCAGGTAGGTAGATAGATAGGGAGGTCACGGACCCTCGCATGTCTGCGATGAGACGGAACTTGATCATTTCTTGGGGGTCGAGGCCCTTGTCGACGCAGTGCTTCTCGGCTTTGGTGAGGATGAGCTTGAGGTTCCCGAGGTATTTGATCATCATGGGGATGGAGGCATTGTAGAGGGAAACCATCTCGGCGGTGTTGTATGTATTTTTCTTAAAGAGCCAAAAGAATAACTTGAACCTAAAAAAAGAGTAGATAGTGACCTAATGAATAGAGGAATTCAAGAACATTGTATTCCCGCGGGCAGTTCTCCTCTATTTATTCATGGTCATTGTCTACTGTCTCGAATGAGAGACACCAAAGTACAGAAGATCTTTCGTCCTAAAGGCTGCTCAACGACCCCGCCCTGGATAGGACGTGTAACCAAGGCCGACAAGCTTCAAGTTTCGTAATGAGGCTGTCGTCTAGCCATTTTCTGTCTGGCTTGCTGATCCTTCCTAGGTAAATCAGGAACGCTCCATCAGATAGCATTCGGGCAACGGCAAGTGCTGACGTGAGGTGTCTCAAGAATGAAGGAACTCACAAAGCGACGTACTTCTGATGCGCAATCAAAGCTCTCAAATTTCTGTGAAATTGTACACACGCTAAAACAGCTGATAGGAAGCGCACCAGGCCCCACGGTGCCGATATCAAGGGGCCGTCGGGACGGTCCCGGCCCCACTAATGACGACCCCACCATGCGGACTTGTCAGCCAAAGCTCCCCCGCAAGCTCTGATTCGTCCACACCGCGAGTTACCCGATCTAGATAGGTAGGACTACTTTAGATCCAACTCCCCTCCTCTCCTGTCTCGCGAACGTCCAGCCACTCGGGACGTTTCGCGCATCTCTGCTTACATATCGCGGCACGGCAACTTCGAATATCTCTGCTTACCAACGCGCACGCGTGCGAAGCAACAAGAAGAAAGTCCCTCCTACCGGCCCACCCACCCCGGCATCATGTTCTCCTCATCCTCGTCCTCCGCAGCGAGGACCCCTGCACCGCCGTCGGCGCCGGCTCCGGCGTCGTCAACAAGCACCGCGACGACGTCCCAGCACCTCAGCGTCTCCAGCGCGGCGCGCCCGCAGCAGTCGCAGTCGAGCAACACCTCCGTCTCTGGGGGTCCTCTTGGCCCCGCGCCGCCGCAACAGCAGCAGCAGCTCCACCAGACGCTGCCCTCCGAGGACCAGCAGCAGCACATCTCGGAGGCGCGCGCGGCGGTGGTGGCGTCCATCGGGAACATGCTCGACGGGGAGCTGCAGACGCGGGCGCGCATGCTGCACTCCAACGCGGCGGCGCTGGACAAGCAGGAGCGCGACGTGGTCAAGGCGACGGACGCGCTGCGGAAGGAGAACGACAAGCTGGCCAAGTTCACCGTCGACGCGGCGCGGCGGGTGAAGGAGCTCGGGAACGTGCAGAACTGGGCCGAGGTGCTGGAGAGGGATTTCCTGGTGCTGGAGGAGACGTTCCGGTTGGTTAGGGAGGGGAGCTGTGAGAGCTGCGGGAGTGGGAGTTGGAGTGGAAGCGGCAGCTGGAGCGGCAGCGAGGATGGGGATGTGAGGATGGGAAAGGGCGAGGAGGGTAAGGGGAAGGGGAAGCAGGTTGAGGGGGCGATGGAGCTGGATGGGAGCCATGAGAATTGCTCCGAGGCGAGTCAGAGTGTTACTGAGGCCGGGTCGAGTAACGCCAAGGGGTCTGAGACGACTTCTATCTCGACGCTTTGAGGATTGATTGAACGGGCTACGATACCACTTTACGACGTATGACACTTTACGAGACGAGATACACGCGGATGCAGCGGTAACGACTTTGCGCCTGGATTATTGGTCTATATGTCTTGTATGAACTTCATAATACATCTCATAACTTTTCGTCAGGCCGCCAGTATTATCACCTGGCCAGGGCAGGCATGCTTTGTTCATAGTTCGGGCTCGCACCTAATGAGGCGCTTAGAAGATGCCGGGCAGCAGGACAAACTTCTTCTTCTTGTAGGTCTCAGGGAACTCCTTGCGGTAGGCGCGCTCCTTGCCCTTGGCCCACTGCGACATCTGAACGCCGCCGATGACGATGAAGAGGAGGACGGCCCAGCTGCGGGAGGCGATGACGACGCCGATCCAAGAGATGATCTCGAACATGTAGTTGGGGCAGGTGACGAGGGAGAAGCCGTAGCCGCGGGGGATCTGGCGCTCAGTACCGCCACGGGAGCGCAGGCTGGCGAGGTTGAGGTGGACAAGGGCGTTGGAGGCCTCGCCGAAGAGGAAGACGATTGTGCCGAGAACGTCAACGGCGTCGTTGCGGGCGAGGGCGGTAGGGGATGTCGGAGAGTAGATGTGCCAAGCGCAGAGGAGGCCGGAGAAGGCCCAGTAGAAGAAGGAGTTCTTGAAGATGTTGCGCATGGGCATGGTGTTTGCGGAAAACTTGTGGACGAAGAGGGTCTCGTACTCGCGCTTCATGAAGTGGCCGAGGAACATGGCGAAGACGAGAAGCTGGGTCGGGGAGAGGGACTTGTTGGAGGCGCCGGAGTAGATGTAGGGGCGCAGGGCGACGAAAGCACCGTGGATGAGGAGAGGACCGAGGTACTCGATAACGAAGACGGTGCTCCATGCCATCTGGGGGCCTGTTGTGGTCAATTGTTAGCGATTGGGAATTTTGGGGGCGGTTAATGAAGCTTCAACGTACCGAGATCCTTGACGAGAACCTGACCTGCGGACATCACGGCGGCCTCGGTGCCAATCTGCGCCTTGCGGTTCTTCAGAGTCTTTTGCGTGGCAGGGTCGAAGAGACCGACGCGGTTGAAGTCGCCCAAGCCCGTCTCACGGGCAATGAGCTTCTTGACATCCTCAACGGTGGTGTCGGGGGAGATCTCGATCGACTCGGGGAGCTTCTTGACGGGCTGCTTGGGAGCTATTTGGTACGTGTAAGTTTATTTTTCTTTTTAGACAGGGGGGCTTCAAGTTTGCGAATTGCTCAGAACAGGAGACAGAAAGAAAATACTTACAGCGACTGCTCAACTTGAGCGTTATTTTGGCGGCCATTGTGGTGATTATTTCCCCTAGAAGTGTTGGAGTGCGGTGTGTACGAGCTGCACTTGTGGTAGGGTTGAAGGATTGTCTTGAAGCTGGAGGGGGGCCTTCGAATTCGTTGGGAACCATGCAGTGCTTGAAGCACGGCCGTTGCATGGACACCTCGGCTTGTGTGGGGTCGCACCGAAAGCGCACTTATCCCGCTTATTCAATTAACACATGTATGCGTTAAACCAATTGTTAAGGGTTGAGGGCATCGCGACCTCATTGATCACGGTGAACATTTCAAAAGGCACAAAAAAGAAGCTTATGGACTCATATAGGTAATCTATTATATGTATGTACATAAAAAATTCAAAGAACGAGTTCATACATGCCCGGCTTACAAGGAGCCGCACTACTTCATGAGATTGGCGTAACTTACGAATAGGGGCCACAATGAACATTAGAAATAATTTCGATTATCTGGTCTTTGGTCTAGATAGGCGACAGCGAAAAGACGTCTTAACGGAGTTCGAAGAAAAAATTGAGGTCGAGAGGGCGAAAAATCTCAGTGTGGCCTTCGGCGGTGAAACCTACGACGCCGCATGTGGGATCTACATGTCAGCCTCATCGTAGACTGTCGCTGAGTTGGGCACCTTCATGATGACCTGAAAACCATGAGACTGAAAGCTCCCATTAGGTACTCTGCCGGTATAATGGATAGGCAGGAAGGTGCAGGAAAGTGTGCCTATTGCGGAAAAAGCACCTACCCCTAGGGGCTGGACTGTCTTTTGCAACTTGCGCACCCTGACTGATCAGGATCACGTACCCAAGAAAACAGCCTCATTTTGCACCTTCCGATGACAATAAGCCAGACAAAATGGTGCCGCGTGTCGACGACATCGGTGTGCACTTCTCCATGGAACAGTTCAACAGCCTCGATCGAATTCCCTAACAATTTCCCACCTCGAAGCCTTGCCGAGCCTGCAAGCAGAAAACACAAAGGTTGCCCGAGTCAGATATAGACAAGTTCGCGATTCTGTACGCAAAAAGAGTTGTGTGCTTTTCCAAGGGTTGTCCATAATCATCTTGTTTTGCGCTTCCAAACCCAACCTCCTCCTGACTGTGCCGCCCAACTTATGCCAGAGAGAGTGTGGTCCGTGTACCTCTGTGACTAGAAATAGGTGGCTTTGAATGAGTCTCGCTGGTCTTTGGGTCGTGTTCTGGATGTGGTCAGCCCATGGAACAACTCCTTTATCGTCGCCTTCCTTGTTCGGCCGAAGTGAACTAGGTAGTCGAGACAAGTTCCTGCGTCCTGTGGGGTTTGATCAATATTCTGGAAGTCTCGCTCGGAAAGTCTCAGGGGCAGAATACGTACGGAATAGTCCAGTGTTCTGGGTTATGTTCAGTGTTCACCCTGAGGTCGGCTATGGTCCGAGTCGAAGAGGTTGTTTAAGCGGTCCTGGACCTGCCTTTTGCTCGCTTCGCCAGTAACCTTTGCAACGACCTCTTGCCTCGTAGTTGCCTTGCATAAAGCAGACGCTCTGCAAGGCTGTCCGTAGGTACACATCTACACCCCCAGGTTTCCGTCGAACTTCCTCCGCATCAACACCTAACGCTCTGAATCCGCCCGCATCACCGACGGATTTTCTCATCGTTACCATCATTTTTCGTCCATCGATTTTCTGAGCGCGCGCCGGCTTACCTCGACGTTCCATTCCATCCTTATTCGCCACCTCTTACCCTCGCAGTCGACACATTCGCTTCTTATCGTATCAATATCCATCAACTTCGGCATGCCCTTGTAGAACGAAGGGAGTCGGCCAGCGGTAGCACCCATCCATACGGATTCCCATCACACCACTGGCCCCCGACCTCGTGCCAGATCGCGTCGCCCATATTAGTCCGAACGCGTGCTTGCCGGATACCAACGTCGTCATGACCCAGCCACAGAGTACCTATCCCGACACCATCGCCGCTGCCTCCACGCCAGTCTTCGAGCGCCACCAGGACGACAGCTCTCCGATTTCAGCCCATCATAGGTCTTGGTCTAGCTCGCCTTCCAATTTTGATGGCGATACCGACATTGACCGAGATGCCTATAAACGATCGCTAGCAAACCGGCCTCCGGCCAATGCGCCTAAGGGGCCGGCAGCCGATCGATTTCGCGGACAGAACCAAGACAGTCGGCCACCGCCCAACGCTCCGACTGGCCCTGCGGCTCACAGAAGAAAGGAAGTGAACCGGAACCCTTTCGGCAGATCACATCAGCAACCGGTAGCCCCAGCCGTCGCACATCCGAATTCCAAAAATTGGTTTAGCAAGGACTACATTGAGATGAAAATGTTCGAGAAGGGAATGGAGCAGATGAAATATAGGCGCATGGCTAATTCTCCTTGTGTCCCCCGAACTGCCTCGGAATACATGATCCTCAGAGAAGAAAATTTGCAAAGAGCCAAACAACACATTGCGTGGAAGAAGCAGCATGACAAAGAGGAAAGGGATGATCGAGTAAGCAACAACAAGAATACGTCTTTGCCCTGCGAAAAGCTTTTATCGCGCGAGTTGTTCCCGACGCACTCCGCGCAGATATACTGGCATGCCGGCCCCACCGAGGGCCTCCGAGACTGGCCAACTTCTAACAACTTCAAGAACCATGGAGATAGGAGGAACGAGCAAGGAAAGAAACAAATCCTTCCCCCGGACGAAGAAAACGAGTTTCAACCAGTAGACTCCAGAAAATCAAACGGCGCACAAAAGGACGCGGCGGCCTCAGACGATCAGCAGATCAGACTCAAAGAGCTTTCTGAGCGGTGCCAAGAGCTGATCAAGGACTTGATCGACGACGACGAGAAGAATACTGAGAGATATGTTTAGGAACATGTAAGAGGGGGATGGGAGGAACATGGATGGTACCTGGTTGATGAGCGAGCAACCATGCTTTGGCAACATACCGTTGGACACGAACAGAAATCTTACGATGCTTGGCTTGACTGGCAGCGGCTTCACCAGCAGTAACTAAGCAAAAAGAAGCGGCTTCACCAGCAGCATCTCAGCAAAAAGAAGCGGCTATATGCTTTCCAGAGCATCCCGCAGTAGGCGTATCAGCGCCACGGAGCGAGAACGGTTTGATTGTGAGTGGCCGGTTGGATGGCCCAGGGAGTACGGTTTTGCAATATTATTGAGCTCAGGGTTAGCTTATATCGGAATCCTAGCGACGTAGCAATGAGAGCAACATTTCCCTCGGTTTTGAGTGGTTGATGACAATTGTTGATCCTCTTCTACTGACGTGCTCGTGTGGGTTGAGAAAGGGAAGTTGAATTTAAGTCAGGCCGAGAATAGCCTCAAAGAAGAGGCGCGATTAGCAAACTTGGCATGAGTGCAAAGTCAGCGCAATTGGAAGAGCCTTTAGCTTTATGGTGAGGTGGCCTCCGGCATTTGTCCGTTTGAAAGCAGCGCGCCTTAGCTTTCTCAAAGACCGACGTGGACATCAATGTCCTCAGACAAGCTTCAGTACAAAGTCAAGTGAGGTAACCCGGAGCTGGCAAGCTCTCCCCGCACTCAGCCAAGGAGCAAGAGCTGAGAGCTCAAGCAAGCAAGGTATTGATCCGGAGTTCAGCCGGACCCTCACGCCAGGCGGGCAGCAGCCAGTGGGAGGGCTCCGTCCTAATGCGGCCAGGTGAGGGGTGGAGACCTCAGCCTCTCGCTTTCTCTGTCCTTTCAAACTCCACGTCCAGGCTTCTTTCACAGCTCAGTGGTCCGTCCTGGTCAAATCTTTCCTCCACACAAATAAACCTCCCCTACTCGCTCTCCTGCCTCTTCACTCCTCTCGACACCACTCCCACCCCCCCGATTCCATCCCCCCCATACCATTGCGCATCCTCCTCCCGCGTTGTATTTTTTCCTCATTCTATCCAGCAGCGCATCAATCGCAACTTGATTTCATTTTTCCATTTCCATCGTTCCGCAGTCGCAACTACCAGCTTCGTTGCGTGCTTTACGCGACCCCTCCCACAGCCGAGATGTCAGAATTCTTAGGGTACGGAGACCTGTCCAGCACGCCCCCCGATCCACTCCCATCGCGTCTTTAAATGCGCGCAATCTTACTTATTTCGCTAACTTCCTTCTTCTTAGATCTCGCATCTCCCTCATCTCCAAAAGCGACATTCGGTAAGGACTTGGTGGACGTCCACGTTGCTCCCCAGTCCCCTTGCTCATCGCCTCTAGATATGTCGGCGTTCTTCACGAGATCAACTCGGACGAGTCCACCGTCTCGCTCGAAAATGTCCGCTCTTTCGGCACTGAGGGTCGGAGGAGTAGACCCGAAGAAGAGATAGCACCTTCCGATCAGGTCTACGACTACATCATCTTCCGCGGCAGCGATGTCAAGGACCTGAGGATCGAGGACCACCCGGCTATCAAGGAGAACAAGCCTCCTGCTATGCCCGAGGACCCGGCTATTGTCAACGTAAGTTTTGTCCATCTTGCCCACCTTCCTTGACAACGCCTGTATGATGAAGTATTGCGGATGTAAAAATTATCGTCTTGTCGGAAAAGCGCAAAAACGATGTCGAAATTTCCGTTGCCTTCCTTCTGACTCACGGCTCTACTCTGTCTTGGAATATGCACATCATTCGTCTCTGGACATAGCTGACAGGTTCCAAACTCAGGCTCGCCCTCGTCCTGGACAAGGATCCAACCAACCGCCGCCGGCACCCGGCTTCGGTCAGCCTCCTTTCCAAAACAACTTCTATCCGCCTCCTGGGCCATGGGGACCTGCCCCTGGGCGCGGCGGCCCCGGTGTGCCTGGTGCTGGAATGGGCGGCATGCCTTACCCCCCTCCTCCAGGCTGGTTTCCTCCCGGCCCTCCCGGCCAAGGTTTCCCTCCTGGACCTGATGGGTGGAACAACTACAACTACCCTCCTGGACCCCCCGGCCCTCGTGGTCCCCCTGGCCCTCAAGGCCCCGGAGGTGCGCCCGGCCAGGTCCCCGAGAACCGCGGCACGCCCGGCGCCCAGGAGGCGAAGCCCACCCCAATCGGTGCTGCTGGTGACAAGCAGAAGCCCGCTACACCGGCGGCACAGGGAGCCCCGAGTGAGCCCAAGGCGGCTCCTCAGCCCGGCCTCCAGCAGGCTCCTGCACCCACCCCGCCAGTTGAGTCGAAGCCTTCGGTTGCTGAGGTCAAGGCAACGGCTGCTTCTTTGAACGCAGCTGGCCCTTCCAAGCCTGTTGAGTTGCCTGTGCCGACGGGACCTAAGAACCCTGCGCGTGTTCAGCCTGCCATTCCTCTGGCTGCGTCCATGCCCAAGGCCTTCCCTGTTCCTATTAACGAGAACACCGCTGCTCAGTCTGCGCCCAAGGCCGCTGCCGCACCAACGGCTGCGACTGTGAGAGATGCCACCGAGGCCGCAAAGGCCGCCGTTGCCCTCGCGATGGCCAACATGAACGCTGGCGCCGCTGCTGTCTCTGCTCCGCCCCCTCAGGGCAACGGCAACGCTATGGACAACCTTACTAAGAAGGTCAACGAAATGAGAGTCAATGCTGCTCGGACTACGCCCGGAGGTGGACGTGGACGTGGCCGTGGCGGACGACAGGGACAGGGCCAGGCCAAGGTTGACGTCCCCGATGCGGATTTCGACTTTGCTCAAGCCAACGCCAAGTTTAACAAGGACGACTTGGTCAAGGAAGCCATCGCTGGCTCTCCTCTGGGCGAGACCCCAACCAACGGAGCTGCGCCCGAGGCGCCCGCTGTCGAGACGACCGGTGCTAACCCACCGATTGCATACAACAAGACACGGTCATTCTTCGACAACATTTCTAGCGAAGCCAAAGACCGCGCCGAGAACAACGGCCAGAAGCCTGGTGGTCGTGAATGGCGCGGCGAGGAGCAACGCAAGAATATGGAAACCTTCGGCCAGGGCAGCGTTGACGGTGGATACCGAGGCTACCGTGGCAGAGGTCGCGGCCGAGGCCGTGGCTATGCTGGTCGTGGCACAAGAGGTGGATTCCGTGGCCGTGGCGGCCAAGGTGCCACCCCTCCGGCTGCGAACTAGGAGCAGCATGCGACTCGAATGTCTATGGTTAGATCGCGTGGCTTCGCCGAGTGACAACCGCAGACTCGAAGAAGAAAAGTTCATGATTTCTATGGACGTCATTCAGTTTTGCATGGAGATACTGAAAGGAGTTCCTTTCAAAATACTTTCCATGATGTATTATCACTCCCTCGATTATCGAGTTTTCTCGGATTCCGTTGGCGACGGAGCACTGGGCTGGCAAGTCCCTTATTGGTTTGGCCAGAAGGGCAGGAATCATAGGACTGCTATTTTGATACGCATGGGATCGGCTGGAGTTTGGCAAGTGGTAGCCGCAAGAGCTGCGGTCTCATGATTGCGAATGACGACAAAAGGGATTTCAGGCGTGGTGGCAAGCATTAGGTTCTAGGAAAAAGAACGAGGGAGAGATCCATGCGATATGGAATGACGAAACGGAAAGCGGCAGTTTTTTTGGTGGTACTCCTAGAAACAGGCAAGAAGCAAACGGGGTGAAACTTGAGCCTCGTTTGCAGAAAATACAAAAACTGTCAGTTGCCGCCATTGAAAATTGCCACACCGTGCTTGGAGAACAGTTTCTCTTGTGATGTTAGTCGTTGCCTCGCCGTCAAGGACCGTGCACATTTTGATCATCAACAACTCACGACGAAGAGACGCAATGAAGTCGTCAGTGCGATTTGTTTGTACGATTCATTGTGCGGCCCTAATGTCAGGGAGTGTCGCTGGCCGAAGTGTGTGATTGAGTCGAGGTTCATCTGGTTTTGCCTCACAAGAGTTTGTAGCTGTACGCTTCTCCCTCATGGCAAGGTACCTGGAGATGTGTGTAGGCCAATTTTCTGCCCCGCCTAACCCCGCCACACGTCATGTTGGCACTTCGGCGTGACGCATTACTGCAAGCAGCCTTTCTGACAGCACAAACATTTCTCCTCGACTTCCATACCATTTGTCGCATTTGCATCAATTGCACAAAAACCACCACGAAAATTTCTACAAGCCCGCCATTATGTCGAGCCGTCAGCTTCGCAAGCTGCAGAAGCAGCGAGAGCTCGAACAGCTCCAGGAGACCAAGGCGGCCGAAGAGTCCAGCGAAGATGACGAGCCTGAACCCGCACCTATCAAGCCCCGCCAGAGCTTGTTCGCAGCCCTAGGTGGCGGCGACGACGACGATGATGACGGGGACGAAAAATCCGATGATGCCCAGGAAGAGACGAAGGCTGAGCCCGAACCCGAACCTGTCCCGCAGCCAGCAAAGAAGAAGAATAAGAAGAAGAAGAAGAAGGCCAAAAAGCAGGCAGCGCAGAGCAAGGACGAGTCGGAAGATGAGAAGGACGACGAGATTGACAGAGCGCTTGAGGAGCTCAGCGCAGCCCGCAAGGACGAGTCGAATGCCGCGGCCAACCTTGCGCAGCGAAGCCGCGATGTCGACGAGCTTTTGCAGATCAATACCCAGTACCTTCGAGCCATCAACGAAATGCGCGCGCTGTTCGGAAAGGAGGCTATACAGACGGCGCAGGAAGAGGAGAGGGCTGAGCTGGAGGCGGCGCGGAGAGCGCAGCGACACACAAATCAGGGTGTCGACCTCGAGACTGCTCTCCGAGGCGACCCGCGTAAGAAGCTCCCTGAGATATCCCTGCGGCGCAACGTCTTTATCCAGGGCAAGGAGACTTGGCCCCGTGCTACTGCCGTCGGTCTAGTCATGAAGGAAATCAAGAAGGGCACGGACGGTCTCGTGGAGTTCGCCTTTGTCCACGAGCAGGCGTACGACAATGTGCAGATAATGTTCTTCAGCTGCGTACAGCTGGGCGATCCGATGCAGCTGGTCCAGCTGCTGATGCGCCACCCTTACCACATCTCGACCCTGCTTCAGGTGAGCAAGGTCGCCGTGCAGGATCAGAACCAAGCTCTTGCGGCAGACCTCTGCGAGAGGGCGCTGTTCACGTTCGGCCGGGCTACGACGTCTGCATTCCGCCAGAAGCTGGAGCAGGGCAAGGCTCGGTTGGACTTCCGCCGCCCAGAGAACCGCGAGCTCTGGCTTGCTGGGTACACATATCTCAAGAGCCTCGTCCGCAAGGGAACCTACAGGACAGCGCTGGAGTGGGCAAAACTGCTCTACGGGCTGAACCCCAACGATCCGTACGGCATGAAATACTTCATCCACGTCCTTGCCATTCGCGCGCGACAGGCACAGTGGCTCGTCGACTTCCTCAACACCCCAGAGTATGTGTCGGACGAGACGGACGATACTTACATCACACAAACGCTAGTCCTGGCCAAGCTGCAACTCGGTGACTTTGAAGGTGCAAAGACGGCCGCTGTGGCTGGTATGGAGCACCTTCCGTGGCTGTACTGTGCCATTTTCCAAGCACTCAATCTCGAGGCGCCCCCTCCCCTCTGGGCTGTGCAGCCTGACACTGACGAACGCGATTTCTGGACACGGCTCTATGTGCACCAAGCAAAAGATATTTGGAACAACACCCAGGCGATCGAAGTACTCAAGGAAGCCGTCAAAGTTGCAAAGAAGCCCACAGAGAGCCTCCCGCAAGACAGGCAACCAGACACCCGGACGGCCAGATGGGTGTGGCTTGAGGATGCGCCGAGTCTGCTTGGCGGCATCCCGAGGTCGATCTTGACGCAGGAGCCCAACTACGCTTTCGACCCGCTGCCGCCGCCGAAGGAGTCAAACATCTTCACAAGTCAGGGAACGCAGATGCCCTGGCGCAGCGGACCAAGTGAACGGGATATGCTGGCTCAGGAAAGGCAGCTCATGAACATGCTGAGGAGACAGCAGGAGCGGGCCGCTGCGATGGGCGCTGCTGGTGCGGCGGGCGCTGGTGCCGGAGCGATGATGGGTGCGTTCCCTGATGATGACGACAATGGCGAGGGCAATGCGTGGGAGGGTGACTTTGTTGTTGACGATGACGACGATCTTGAGGAAGGCGATGGACGCCAGCCGCCGTCCGCCGGGGTTGTGGCGAGACTTGCGGACCTGCTGGCGTCTTTGGTACCTGGCGGATGGCAGAGTGGACTTCCAGACGATGACGAAGAAGATCCGGAGGACGACGAGCTGCCGCCGTTGGTGGATGCCGATGAAGACGTCGAGGACAGCGAGCCCCGGATGCCCGGTGGATTTCACTAGAGTGAATATCTGGAGATTTGCTCGGCCGGCCTGTTGAAAAGTTGTCCCTCCTCTGTAATACTTAGACAAGTAGAGCAGCAAACTTGCATGGAACAATTCCATTGATACATTGAATCTCGACAAAACCTGCCGTTGCCCAGCTCATGAAGACCCGGGCTCATCTGCACACGGACCCCTGCACCCCGTCAGTTACCCGAGACGGGTTCGACCGCACGCGACATCCATGGAGGGAAGCTGGGCGCACCGAGGCAACCATGGTGGGCGGGAAAAGAAAGGACACCTTGAGCTTTCCCGAGCTTCGGTACTGTGAGATGCTGCTTGCTGCACAAGCACCGTCGATCTCGAGGGGAGGGGCTTTTCAGGGGCAGGACCTTGGGACGCTGCAGGTGTGAAAGGCGGCGATGATGTGAAATGAAATGCGCTCAACGGGTACGGGCGGGAATGGGGCACGTTTCAGGGGAAAGGGACAGACACTTTGTTGAAGTCTTGCTGCAGTGCTTGTTGCTGGTTCTTCTTTCTTTGGGCGGGAGCCATGCTGGAGGTGAGCAAGTTTCAGAACGAGACCTTCGGGGGGTGACGGCCGATTGGAGCGCTGATGCCGGTGTCCGGGGGGCTGGGGGGCGCTCCTTCGGGTATTAGGTGTGCTTACCTGACCTGAAGGGAGCTCTTGCGCCATAGATGGCTGAAGCGCTCGGTGGGTGGAAGGTATGCGATTCCACGGTAATTAATAATGCTGGTTTGGGATGGATATATAATCAACGCCGTCCCTTCCTTCTCATCTCATTGAGAAAACGTCGTCAAGTCCGAGATACCCCTTTGTCCCCGAAGTCAGAAAGAACTGTTCGTCATCTACCTTAGTACAGCGGAGATCATACACACAGAGTCGCTGCCCCTCCTTTTTTATTTAGCTATCCTACCCCGCCAAAAACGCCATTCCGGAACATCTTCCCATCTACAAACCACAACCACCAACTCTCCCGAATCCTTTTTCGAAACCACCCACGATCACAATGTCTGAGCACACTTACAAGTTCAACGTCAGCATGAGCTGCGGCGGCTGCTCCGGTGCCGTTGACCGTGTTCTGAAGAAGCTTGATGGTGAGTGCTTTTCGCGGAGAGAGCACGTTCCGTGCTTGACTGGGTGCTTGCTGCACATGTGTCCTGGCGCAAAAACGGCGGTGACACCAGAGGCAACCCTGGCGATGCTCGCAACACGTTCTCCTGGACAACATTCGAAGCTCCATGTTCGCTAACGCGTGGTTCCTCCCAACAGGCGTCAAGTCCTACGAGGTCTCCCTCGACAGCCAGACCGCCACCGTCGTCGCCGAGGAGAGCCTGCCCTACGAGAAGGTCCTGCAGACCATTGCCAAGACCGGCAAGAAGGTCAACTCTGGCAGCGCCGATGGCGTTGAGCAGAGCGTCGAGGTTGCTGCCGCATAAGCCTTCTCTCCATCTTCGAGAGGTGTGCGCGCGGGCAGGAATACGGAGGAGAGTTTGATACCGAGAGGATGAACTACTACTGCTGCTGGGAAAGCCATTTTTGTGCGAGGAGTTACATTTCCGGGTTTTGGACACTACCTTACCTCTAGGGCGATGTCCAGTGCTTTTCACGCATGCGAAATACAGAGGCAGAGATGCCTTCGTTGAGGACAAGTTTGTGGACGACGCTGGACCTACACTCGTGTTGTTGATGTGACTGGACTCGTGCATGGTCGATGGATTACTCATGAAGTCGTGATCCATGAATATATTCCGAGAACTGTGGTACTGTGGACGTCGCGTCGTCTTGGTGCCTACACTGCCGACCAATGCACCCAAGAGTTTCTACTATTGATTCCTAGAAGCCTTCATCGCCCTTCTTCGCTGGATTGCAGCCTTTTCTGGACTTGTGCCACATCTTCTTCACGGTGTGACCTTGAGAACTTGATCCTTGATGTGTGCCTGCAGTCGAACTTGACATGCGCTGCTCGTCAGCCACATCAAGCCACTCGGGTTTCTACATTTTATGAGGTTCAACGAAGTACTGCAAACTGACAAGTGATAAGAGAGTCGCCCATGCATATAGCCTCTAATGTCGGTGTGCATAAATACGGAAACAAAGAGACAACTACACAATAAGAGAAATAAACCCGTAGCCGGCCCCGAGATACGGACGACTGCTCCGGTGCTGGAAGACGTAATCCGACAGGGAATAGGCAGGGAATGAATCAAGATATGCGAGGACGCATCCCGAAACGAAGCCAAGCAAAGAGCACTCTCACCTCTCAAAGCTGGACCCTGTCTCCCCGCACATTCATACAGTTGCACTGGTGATAGGGCTACTGCCCGAGATGCCAGATCAAGCTCGCCGCCGTTCATGTTGCATTGTGTTTGGCCCCTCGGATTCGCGCGTCGATCTTGATGCCTTGTCCAATAGCATGTTTTCCAGTCCACACATGCAGGAAGCACACGTGAAGCAGAGGACCCTGAGAAACCTCAGATAGACGCAAAGGTGAGCCAACTCGCGAATGACCAACTGCTCCTCCGGAGTCCGGTCCTCACAAGGTCCCCACACACGCCGCTTGGATCGGCGGCTTGAACGCCACCCGGGGGACCGGGGGAGGTGTGCCTACAAACGTCATTTCATGCCCTCTACCACAGGCAAACCCCGCCCCATTCCCATGTATCGGCGGCTGGGTGCATTTTTAGAATTTTCTCCTGCTGCTAGGAAGAGGGACGACACCTCGAGCACATGGGATGCGTCGCAAAATCTGGATGGTGGGAGCAGGAGTCCAAGTGTCCCCGGATGACGACCAGGGCTGACTACGTTAGACTCGGTGGCGGGGGTACTTTCCCCGTTTTTCTGTTTGCTTGTGTGTGTTCTTCCTGCACCTGTCAAGCGCACTTGCACTTGCCCTCTTATTAGTGCCTGCCTTAACCTCGCTCATGCGCTTGATGGAATGAGACGAGACTTCTAGGTTGCCTCTTTCCAGACTTGAAAACCTGAAGCTGTCATTAAAGACACACACTCCTGACGTTTTGTCTGTTTGAGCTTGACTTCAACCTCGCATCCACACATAAGAAGAACCTACTTCTAGAAGCGAACCCCAAGACCTGTTCGTCGCATCTCACTCAAACCCAGGCCGTAACCTACAACGTATTCTCGCAAATAAAATAAAAACAAAAATCCCCAACCGACCACAGCCAACATGGGCACGCCATTCGTTTCCCTCCTGGAGCCGACCAGGCTGGACGCCTACATTCGCGGCCGCGCGCACGATGAGCAGCCCGCCGCCATACCGAAATTGTTCTGCGACGCCATGGAGGTGCGCGAGGAGGTCTTCGTGAAGGAGCAGGGCGTGCCCGCGGAGAACGAGTTCGACGCCGACGACAGCCGCGCGTGCCACTGGGTCTCGTACGCTTCGGTCAGTAAGGTCGTCGAGCAAGAGGTCCTCGACGGCGACGGCAACATCGTCAAGCCGCGCCGGAGCAGCACCCGCGCCACGCCCATCGGCACCATCCGCCTTGTGCCCTTCCCACACGACCCGCACCCGAAGGACGGGGGCGTCTACTGGGACGGCAAGCTCGAGGAGATCAAGGTGGGAGCCGCTGCCGGCGGCGACGGCGAGGCGGTGGAGACGGCTACGGAGGAGATGAAGAGCCCCGTCAAGGAGGATGGTGTGGTGGGCGCGGCGGAGCACGTCGGCGAGGAGAGGCGGTCGTCAGCGGCGCGACCGTTTGCAGGGCCGGACCGCGCGACGGACCTGCACGACGGGATTGAGCCGTACGTGAAGCTCGGCAGGCTGGCCGTGATTGAAGGATTTAGGGGACACCGGATCTCGCTGCTGCTTGTGAACACAGTGCTGGCGTGGTTGAAGGAGAAACCGAGCTATTTCGACCCGAGCATCAAGGAGATGGGCCTGGAGCAGATCGGGGCGTCGACGGCGGAGGAGGTGCCCAAGTGGAAGGGACTGGTGTGCGTGCATGCGCAGAAGCAGGTTGTGGAAATGTGGGAGAAGATGGGTTTCGTCGTTGACGAAGGTATGGGGACTTGGTGGGAGGAGGGCATCGAGCATAAGGGTATGTTTATGCGGCTGGACGTTCAACCCGAGACCACCCCTTTGGTATGAGGGGTCGAGCATTTTTGGGCCTTTTGGTGAGAGGCAGAGAGGGCTTTCTAAGCATTCGGGGAGGGCTCATGACTTATGATTGACGATGGCTAGTCGTTTACTCTTCTGGACGGATGGTCCATAACATCCTTATTATACTTGCTTCGTAGGACATAATAGAGGCTGGTCAATGCCAGTCGTTCATCTCGTAATTCTATCCTGGTCCATCATCTCTCGTCATCACACATGGCTTAGTATGGGGAATCTCCAGGGCACAGCGAGATAGGCGGGATGGCTAAGGTATTTGATCATATGCCCTCTGACGAGCTTGGCTTCGTATTGGAAAACCACCTAGAGCCGTAAGAGACAAGATGCCGTAGCAGCGTTCCCCATTCCCGAACGCGCAAATGCAAAAGGGCGCAACACACATACACTTTTCCTTTTACGAAGAGGTAGAAAAAAAAGGATGATGATTGCCCTGTAATGTAATACCACGCCTCCGTTTGATGTTTGTCCCCAAAAAAGCAAAGTTTTTTTACGACGTAAGAAGGTAGGGTCCCATTTCTTTCGACGGTACTCCTAACATTCCCTTCACAGGCGTGAGTGTGTGATGAAGTTTTTGTTTTTCCTTCCAAAACCCCAGCACTCCTCCCGGTCCCCCCAACCAGATCTCTTGTCCCAGTAGCAATTGAAACCCACAAACCCATGCTCGGGCAGTAAAGGTCCCTTCTTTTCCCCTGACGACAAAACCACAGAAAAAGTGTGGCGAAACCCTTTATCGGTTGGACTTGGCGACACGCTCCAGCTCGTCCTTCTTCTTGATGGCGTACGAGTTGCTGCTGCCCTTGGCGGCGTTGATCAGCTCCTCGGCAAGGCACTCGGCGATGGACTTGACGTTGCGGAAGGAGGCCTCGCGGGCGCCGGTGGTGAGGAGGGAGATGGCCTGGTTGACGCGGCGGAGGGGGGAGACATCGACGGCCTGGCGACGGACGGTACCGGCGGAACCGATACGGGTGGAGTCTTCGCGGGGACCGCAGTTGACGATGGCGTCGACGGCGATCTGGATGGGGTTCTGGTCGGTCATCAGGTGGATCTAGTGGTCGCATGTTAGCCTTCGTTCCCCGTGGTTGGTGAAGCCCTTTGTGTGTGCGCGATTGGACTTTTGGTTCCTCCCGAGGGGTTCTCAAGGTGTTCCGGGGGTGACGTACGATCTCGAAGGCGTGGGCAACGATGCGGACAGCCATGAGCTTCTTTCCGTTGTTGCGGCCGTGCATCATGAGGGAGTTGGTGAGGCGCTCAATGATGGGGCAGTTGGCCTTGCGGAAGCGCTTGACGGCATAGCGGCCAGCGGAATGGGTGACATAGACGGGGTTGCGGAGGGAGATGTAGTCACTGTTCGATTGAAGTCCCAATTAGCATCGCAAGTACTTTCTCGTGTTGTCTTGTGTAATTTTTTTCTTCTTCTCGTGTCGTATTCGTGTGTGCGCGCTCAAGGAGGGGGAGGGAGAGGCTCACGTCAGAGAGATGTCGCGGACCTCAACATCGTAATCCCACTTGTTGAAGAGCTTGACGTTGCCAACCTCCTTGACGACGTCCTTGGGAAGGACGTCGTAGGTGGCGACGTTCTCGACCTCGATATCACCGCCGTCAGACATTTTCGCTCGACCTTTTGTTGGGGGGGTTAGTAGGGAACCTTGGAAAAGGGAGTCTCGAGTGAACGAAGGGGAAAATGTGGTGGTCGTGGATGTGAAGATGTCGAAGAGCCAGTCTCTCACCCCAGCTGTGGATAATTTTCGCCTCGAATGCGGTGGCCCAGCCCACAAGGGCTTTCTCGTCTGGCTGGCTGCAATTTTTCCCACGTCGACGTCGCCGAAAGTGGGGCGCCGGTCGCGTCGGGGCCAATCAGCGGCGATTACGTCAGGAAATTCTTAGGGTATTGGAGCCCTGTGAAATCCGCGGTGGTCTGAGTGGAGGCGCTCGCCTTTCCCGACGACCTCCAAGTGAACTTAACTCACCACCGCAAACCCGCCCCAGGTGCCTGATATCCCACCGACGACAACCAGAAATCAGACAAAATGGTACGGGCCCTTATTCGAAGGCGACGACGAGATGCTGTCGACTTGGCGAAAAAAAGACATGTTACTGACTGTTCTCCGTGAAGGCGCCCGCTGCTGGAGCTAAGAAGCAAAAGAAGAAGGTTCGTTTGATACAACAATTTCCCACTTCGTGCGATTCCGTCCAAATGTTTGCTAACACCTGAAATAGTGGTACGTATGATTCTTGTGTGTGTGTGTGCGTTGTGCGATCGAGAAAAACCCGACGACCATCGAACCACCTCCCCTCTCTACCCATCGACAAGCCGACTCATGCATCGCACAGGTCCAAGGGAAAGGTCAAGGACAAGGCCCAGCACGCCGTCATCCTCGACAAGACCACCTCCGACAAGCTCTACAAGGATGTCCAGTCCTACCGCCTGGTGACCGTTGCCGTCCTGGTCGACCGTCTCAAGATCAACGGCTCCCTGGCCCGCAAGTGCCTGGCCGACCTCGAGGAGAAGGGCATCATCAAGCCCGTCGTTCAGCACAGCAAGATGAAGATCTACAGTACGTCGACGGAAGCCATTCACTCGATGATGAGAAACAACCAAATCTAACAGTCCAACAGCCCGTGCCGTCGGTGGCTCTGACTAAACCCTTTCAACCATCAGCTGGTATGCATGACGAAAAGTAAAAAAACGGCATCGGGAGGACAATTGGGACGGATTGGTCACTTATCATCTGCCTGGTCAGGAGGCTTTACAGATGCTCGATGAAGCATTATACCTTGGGCCTTAGGGATCGGATTTGCTTAGCATCGCAAATGGAACGGAGTTGATCGTACATCCGCTGCTTCGTCAGTCAAAAAATAGACCATGAACAAGTCCATGCCTCCCAATGACGGCGCCGCCCTGGTTTTCTGTGCTTCCTGTGTATGTGCTACTAACACTCTAGTATCAGGGCCGTGGAAGTCGTCTTCTATCGAAAACCCGCTCGAAAGAAAGGTTAACATGCGCCTGGACATGTGGCAGCTTCAGGTTTCACACGGGGAGCCAAAGAGCTCTCTCCGCGGTTGCTGAAGAGCAGATCATGACACTGCAATTACGCTTTGCGGTGCTCGACAGACATCTCATTGCTCATCAGGGTGCCGTTGCTGCGTTGGTGCGTCAACGGTCAGGCGCGGGGCAAGCCGTCAGCATTACCTGGGCGAACGAAGTTGGACAGTATGGGCCGGGACCGACCTGAGTATTGCTGCTCCTTGACCGAGGAGAGCAATGGCTCGGTGAATCTTCACCTCCGCTCGTCCATCAAGACCCGAGAGGACGGATCACTGTTGGATCTTGTCTGTGACGACCCGGAAGATACCGTTGACGCAGGGCCCCTCGTCTGAATGTCGTCGACGTCCGAACGCGCTAGGGATATGGCGCACGGGGGAGGCTCAACTCTGGAGAACGACATCGCGCGCGAATGATAGCACAGCTGATCAGAGCAGCTTCTCCCCTCGGATCTTGGCTTTGCGGAGGGAATTGAGATTTCCCAAATCACTCGGACGCTGCCTCAGATGTAGCTGAAGCAGCTGAACAGCTTATTTTGCGACGAGCTGCAAACGTTGTCCGGTCAATTAAGCTTGTTGCCGTTGCTTCTATGCCCGAGCAACGTGGCCATCATAGAATCTTTCGATAGTGGCTTCCTCATCAAACTCTAGAAGCTACGAGGGCGATATTAGTTGAGCCTCATTCAGCGCCACTCGGGCGTTCTCTAGCGTAGAGTAAAGTGGTAGTCTCGCCGACGCGATGGAAGGCATGCTGACTTGCGCATTGGAACCTCTCACGTAGTATCATCATCTCGACTTCTTCTTACCAGTAACGCGGGTTTTTGCGACCCGTCATGTAATTATGATTGTGTGCACAGCGAGTGGAGCGGAGGCCCCGCGTTAATCTGTCACTCGCTAGAGGTTATTACTCGCATTGGCCAAGCTCGGAGAGTCGGCAAGGTCGATGTCGGAAAGGGAGTTTGCGTCATTGTGTCTTATTATCCATTTGTCGCAACTTGGATCATACGAAGGCGCGGCCTTGCCTTGCGCTTGCGAGGGGCATACGGATACGCAAGAATCGCGCAAGGTTCGCGTTGGGCTTATTCTCGAAGGGGGGACATGGCCCCCGTGGCCGCCTCACAGGGAGAGAAGAACGAGGGAAACACTGTTTAGGAGAAGAGGGGGATGAGGTGGAAAATCCCCAAGCGCGGGTACCCAAGATGTTGGATGAGGCCTGGATGAGGCCCATGAGGGCTCCGGGAGTGGTTGGAATTGAGGGTTGGCGAGATTAAAGAACAACCAGAGGTGTTGGCGGCTGGGCGCTAGGGCGGGACTTCCCTATGGCGCTTTGATCAAGTTTGGGGGTGGTTTGACCAGGAAGTCAAATTGATTAGGGCGGTCCGAAATTTGATGTCATGTCAAATTGACAATCGCGAAGTTGCCCCCTATTTTTCCTCGTTCTGTAGTGCTCAAGGAGGGGTGATTTGTGAGATGAGATCTGATGGTGTTGCGCACGATGGTTGGGTGTCGCACAATCGAGGCCTCGGAGGTTTGTGCAGGATGAACAGGTGGCGGAGAATAGAATGCTTGTCGAGGTTGTCGAGGTTCCATTGTCAAAGAGACGGACGGCAATGTCGCGGCACATCTGCAGGGTCTTTCCGTTATCTCTCATCTGGACAAAGATCTGGCACATGATGCGGCTGCAAGACTCGGACGTCATGTGGTGGCTGGCGAATGACAGTTGGAAAATGCGCATGGCATGCATGCGCCAGACGACTCATCGCAGCTGACTGGCTGAGGCGAGGAAGTCCGAACAACTGCAGTTAGTGATCAAGATGGGGATAAAAGTGCAGAGAAACGAACAGGACAGGCCGGGTGATTTGGTTCGTTTCGACAGCGAAAGACCGTCTTGGGGATGGAGGGGTTAATTTGCGGGCATGATGAAGAAGACGAGGACTAGGGCATGAAGGATGTTTAAGGTAAGGTGTCGTGGGATAGCACCGCTAGGTCACTTTACTGATGACTGGTTGGTGGTGGTGTTCGTGGACTGGACTCGTGGAGAGGCGTTGCTCGCGATGGGCTGCCACCTGCCCCGAGGGTCTGGGGTACGTACCCCGGAGGTATCTCGTTGTGAAGGGAAGGAATGTGGCCGAACGTACTTTGAAGTACTCTTTTCCAGGGTCCCAGCTGCACATGGAAGGGGCGAGGGAACATTACCTTACCTTAAGGTAAGGCAGTCTCCCGCTCCCCGCTAATGACGGGCAAGGCCTGGCAATTGTCCTCGCTAATTACCTTAGCATAGCGCGGTCCTTGAGGCTTGAGCTGCAGGTCCGTCGGGCGGCAGCTGCATATGGAACTTTGGTCTTTCTTGATCAATGATCATCCACCATTATCACCATTGCCGCCCCAACCTGCCCTGCTTGTTGACGGCAGTTCTGCGCCGCCTTAGTCCTGCCTCGACTACCGACCAACGACGTGTTCTGCCCGCGGGGGACTGAGGGACTGCTTACACCTAAAATGCGGCGACACAAGTCACTATGCGGTCCGGACGGCGGTCCAAGTCTTCGAGACCCGATACTGGCCTCAAACAGCCCCCCCTCGGTCGTCTTCATGCTTTTCGGGGGGTGATCCCCCTCCCCAAACCCCTTGTTGACGTGTGCCTGCGCCTACCAACACTCCAGTATTGCTGCTGGCCATCCATCACTGGGAAAAGGTGTACAATGAATGTATCGCTGTAAAGGTGCCAGGAGCCTAATTTATGCGGTCAACTCCATGCGGACCACCCATTTGCGGTGATTTTTAGATTTGGATCGCCTGTCCCGGTCAGGTCCTGGTCGCATGAACACTCCCACTCCCACTGCTCCTTCCCCCCTTCTCGCTGCTTCTGCGCCCAATTGACTGGGTCTCGAGGCCTTTCCTTTTGCAGCTGATTACAGATGGTAACCTGGTAATTGCACCTCCACCGCCGGGAATCAAGCAACCATCCACCACCACCCACATCATGGCCCATGAGAGGGGAAGGGGAGGCCATTGCATGTCCTGTCGGGTACACCGTTTGGCCTTCTGGGTAGGTACCGTACAGATAGACAGACCACTGTGTGTGCTTGTGCTTATGCTTGCGCCTGTGCCTGGCCCTTAACCATTCCCGGCTGGTGATCCAAAACCCATGTGCACCAACAGGCGGCGGCCCTGATGTCAGGCACCGCTCCGCCTGGCTTGGATGTCGAGCGAGCGAGCGAGCTTTGGTGTCGTGTCTCACGCAGACAGCTGCTGCACTGTCCAGTGTCCATGTCCATCCATGACCACGTCCAAGATCCAAGGTCAAGCCGACTTGACTTCCCCTCATCCCCTTGCCCCGACGGGAGTCTTACAAAGTCCACCTCATCCCGCATCTAAAGCCGGCTTGCTGCTCCCTGCCTTCTCGTTCTTCTCCTCCAACCTACCTACCTAACCTGGAACCCACCACCTCCCACCACTCGCCAGTACCAACTCACAGCACCACCAGTGATCCCCTTTTCCTTGCCGCTTGCAGACGAAACAACTATTCGACCGCCTTCATCCTCGTCTCCCGACGGCGCATTCTTCCAACATCTTCACCGCATTCCAACTTGCTTCCGTATCACTGCCCAGCAATTCTTACACCATCTACCTATCTCACTTACCCTCCCCACCGCACATTTACAACCGCGTGCCTGGGTTACTAGTGTGACAGGCACCCTGTCGATACTGTCAACCGCCCACTAGTCGCTGATCACCCTCCCTTTTCGTCGACCGCGAACCCAGCCATATCCTTTCCCTGGTTCCTCGCCGTCCTTCCCTCCAACTTCAACTCTTCAACTTACCGCTTTCTTCTACACCACCCGTAAAACACCGACGAAATGGCGCAAAACATGACCGACGCTGAGCTCGACCGCGACTGGGTTCCCAACGGTCGCCGCCCGCAATCGTGCGTACCAATTTCCTACACCCTTCCAGTTCGCTACTGGACTCACCGAGCTGCTGTACTGACTGCCAACTTGCAGTACTATTGCCCGCTCTTTCTCCGCGGAGCTCATGGACATTTTCCGCATCGAAAACAGTGTTGCCGACCTCGACGAGAAGGTTGTCCAGCGGTACGTTGCAGCAACTATTCTGGCAGCTCTCCCACCGCCAATCTGAGAGCCAACTACTGACGCGGTGGTCCACAGCAAGCAAACCGTTCAGACTCAGACTAACGAACTTGAGGCCCTCGAGCGTCGCATTCGCGAAATGGAGGAACGCCTGAAGAGCAACGGCCCTGCCCAGAAGCCTGCCGAGCGCCAAGCCGCCCATGATGCGGTAGCAGCCCTGTCCAAGGAGGCCGAGAAGGTCAGATCACGACCAGGTACGGCGCGCCAGAACCAGCCTCATGCCCCGTCGTCGGCGAACATGCCGCCTACACCCACTGCCAGCGAAGGTGAATACGAATTTGTCGGCAAGGATGACCTTGACGACGACCCTCCCCGACACTGAACAGCTACTCCCACAATCTGCCAATTCGCACCATACCCATAATATCATCACCACCACCTCCCGCCTGAGTCCCCCCTTCAAGCACCGCAACCACCACAACCACGGGCAAGCCACGGCGGCCACTTGTTCCTTGAGGCCATAAATGCTGACTTGCTCGGTTTCTCCCTACCAGACGGTGATCGCGAACGGGCATGAGCATAGAGAACCCTTATTTTAGACTGCGACACCGGACTCTTTTAACATGAACGCTCGAGCGCAATCCCGCATATACCCGCACTCTGCGATTTACGGCCACACCGAACCGCGACGTCGACATTGGAATTTCGGTGCTTCTTACGCGGGACTGGAACCTCCATATTGGATTGCTCGCCTGCGCTTGGCACAACCGCAAGCCGAAGATCACATTTTGTGACGGGACGTCGCTCGCTATACCAGCCTTGAGCCTGTGTAAGGCACCAACAGGCATGACATTCCTGATCCACGAAATAGTTTGCATTTGGCTTTTTTCTCTTGCTGCCCCAAGGGCTTCGCATTTTTTTTTTACCCATCACGTCGGGGAGTTATAGCATGCATGAGCGGTGGTCCATACGTGGACAAGTGCCCTGTGGTCACTGAGACCAGTAGAAGAAAGGGCAACATCTGTATATACCAGGGGAAGAAGTGGAATTCACTGTGATTCGTTATGACATTTGGCAATGCGCAAAAGGGTCCTCAGGTGACGACGCAGATTTTGGCGCGCAGCCAAATTCCACACAGGGTGCAGGCTTGTCCATCGACTCTGATTGTTGGTGAGCTCGCGCAGAGAGTCTGGCCGTTTGCGAGCATTCAAGGATGAGTGAGGGTTGGAACTGAATTCCTGCTTCTAACGGCTTTCAAATTACTAGGGTTCGGCTCATTTGAAACAATCCGCATTCCGATCTACCGAAATATTACATTCTTCCCCCCACGCGGTGTCCTTGGTCCGGACTGCAATCTCATCTTACAGCTTGCAGGTATTGGTCAAAGAACACACATCGAGTCCCTTCGGTCCGAAACTAACGAAGCTTCCCGTGTCGCCAAAGTTGAACTGAACATAAATCGTCTTCAAGACCACTCCGCCAAAGATGCCATGGTCGTTGCCACTCGGCTGAATACCACCGAAGCACTTGCCGTCATTACTCGAAACCGGACCAAGGTTGATGTACTCCTTTGGTAACGTCCCGTTGAACCCCCCGCTGGTAGCGAACTCGAAATCCGGAATGCCGGACGCAATGTTGCAGGGGAATAGCCAGGCCCTCAGACTCGGATCGAATGTCGCGCCGGGGATTTCGGCGTAGTACAAGGCGACGAGCTGTCCCGGGATGAGGAGCAGGTTGCTCCCCGTGTCGACGGTCGCGGAGAAGGGCGCGCTCCACCACACGCCGTCGGCCATGGACGTCAGGCGGAAGCGGGCGACCTTGAAGTCCCAGTGCGGCGACCCGGGGACGGGCGGCTCGTTGACGAGGGCGGCGCTGTCGCCGCTGCGGCCGGAACCGAAGTCGAAGAAGCCGAGGGAGGAGTTGTGGCGCAGGTCGGCACAGATGGACGGGTAGTGCAGGTCCTGCTTGAGGCGGTCCATCATGGTGGGCATGGCGGGCTGGACTGAGGAGGTGCCGGCCTTTGCGATGCCGAGGACGCCGCCGAGGCCAGTCTGGTCGACTGCGAAGTGGCCGGTGACGTCGACGGCGGACTGGATGGTTGCGTTTGTGATGTTGAACCAGTTTTGGTCGGTGAGCCCGCCGATGCGGAGGTTGTCGAAGTAGACCTTTCCCGAGACGCTACTGGTGTCGTCTGAGGAAGGGGGTGCTTTTGTTAGCAGAGTGTGGTTGAGGGTAGGGGCGGATGGGTGACGGACCATCTGTGAGGTTCCAGCTGAAGTCTGAGAGTTCTTGGCTTGCTCGTGACTTTGAGGGGTCGTAGAGGTTTGGTCTGCTGGCCGTCGCGATGGACTTTGGGAATTGGGTGTCGGTGGAGAAGAGCCAGCTAGCGGTCATGTCAGTTTCAGCACCAGGAAGGGGGGAACAGGCTGTCTAGGAAGGATGGGTTACAAGTCTGAGACGCCGGAGTCGATCCTCACGGAGACGGGCTGCGCGTCGGGCGTGCCGAGGTAGATCTCACTGAGCCAGGCGTCGTTGTTCACGGTGCTCGCGGCGGGTGCGATGCCAGCTGTTTGGTTTCAGCTCATGTTAGTGGGTGGTGATCAGGTGTCGGAAACGGGGGAGGGAGGGAGGAGACTTGCCGGAGTATCCAGCTCGTCGGGCGAGAAGGTGCGTCTCCAGGCCCTCCGGCACGGGCATGTCCCACCTGCGGTAGGCGGCTGCGAGCTCGGCGGGGCCATCGGGGACATGGTGCGGGTTGGCACGGACGGGGATCGTGAGGGATCGGCCCCGGGGCGGGACGGCGGCGGCGGCGGCGGGCGCCGGTGTGGCTGTGGCGAAGCACGCGAGTTGGATGAGGGAGAGCAGCATTGTTTTGACCGTCATCATGGCGATGAAATGCTTGGGCTGGAATGATCACGGTGCTTGAGAGGCTCTTTCTGGATGGAGTGGCAGCTTCGTCAAGATAGGACCGGTCGGCTACACTTATATATGACCAACACAAACATACATCCCTTCATGACCTGATGTCTCGCAATCGTGTTATATGACACTTTGAGGCCGACAGGAGGCCGCTCCCCGCAAAAAAAGACGGTGATCTCATCTGCCAGCGAGCGACATTTGTGCGTTTGTTTGCCTCTGTCTCGTGCAGAGAAGAAGCGTCTTGGGGGGGGGGGGGGAGGAAAAAAAGAAGTTTGTCTTTCCCTGCCTGGACGATCGCGTATTGCCCTTTGAGTGTGTTACGGGGCGCAGCGGATCCAAGTGCCGGTGCAGACACCCGTCTGTGTGGGAAAGGGCAACTAAAGAGGCAAGGAAAAGACAAGTTGTAGTTTTGAAGGGAAGGTGATTCAGGGGGTGATTTGATGGTTGGTGTTGTCTTATCATGTGGTCTCACTGTGTGGTGGGCAAGCGGAGGGTTTGTTCGACGAAAGGGAAAATGCAGTCCTTTTTTTTTTTTTTTTCTTTTTTTTTTTTTCCCCGGGGAGCAGCGTGATCGTGGTTGACTAGAAGGCTATGGACGAATATTCATGATTGCTGATTTTGTTTATTCCGTCATCCTGTCGAGATGAGGTAGAAGTGTGCGCCGAGGGTTGAGCCGGGAGCGACGGGCGTGTTTCCCCGGAGGGACCTTGCTGGCGATGGTTTGCTCGTGAGATGGGTATGTTGTTGATCATCTTGTGATACGGGGGAAAGGGGGAGACTCGGTGATTATGGGTCGGGCCGTTTTTTTGGCGATGACTGGGTCGGACGAGGACAGTCATGCGGGATCGATGTTTGTCGTGCTGAGGACTGACAAATTGACGAGATGAAGCGATCGGCAGCCTGCGTTACCTGTGACTATTTCGGTGCGCGATGGTGGGTGTTTGCTACTCATAGCGTATTCACTCGCCCGTCTCGGCTACTTGAAATGAGAACGTTAAGACCCCACCCCATATAACCGATCAGCCCCCATAACCGATCAGCTGAATTAGGTAGTACTACACTAAAATCCTAGTTTATTCTTAGCTCTCTGCACTTATAAGTACTAAGTATAAAATTATATAAATTTCTATACTTATATTTTATTATATAGAAAATTTAAATAAAATATTTCTAAAATTCATTATTAAGTAAGTATAGATTTATTTAGTATATAGTAAACTATAGTAAAAATGTTAGTTCTTTCTAAGAATTTATATATAAACCTTAACACTTAAAATATTTAAATAACTTAGTATATATATATTAATAAACTAAATAAAAATTAGTATAATTCTAACTAAAATATAGAGTTAGTATTTATATAGTTATTTTATTTTTTAGATTTATCTTTTATTTTAATATTAATATATTAAAATATTTCCTTATAAATATTTAAGTACTTTTAATATCTATATAACTACTTTATAGAAATTAATATTTTAAGTTTATTATAAATAATTATATTTTTCTAAGAATTATTATAATTTATAATATAATTAAATAGTTATTATTTATAGAAATATTAAGTATTAAAATTTACTAAGAAATAAATACTTAAATCTAAAGTACTTTTTAAACTAACTATAACTATTTAGAAATAAATATTAAAAATAAGCTAAAAATATAAGTTCTATTATATATACTAATAGTATAGTAGATATTTTTAAAAATATTTATTTCTATTTATTTACTATTAAAACTATACTTTCTATTTAAGTCCTTGTTTCCGGATTCGGCTGATCGGGAACGGGGGGTGATCGGTTATGTGGGGTGGGGTCTTATATTGCCGTTACTGGTTTCTCTCGGTAGTATTTGGCCTTTTCTCCTGAATGACATCTGCTACGTCGCAGAATGCAAGCAGGCTCACGTATGCTCATGGTCGCATACCGTAGTAAAGAGGGAACTAATCCAACACAGCCGAGTTGAGATTTCACGGAGCAAAATAAGAGCCACAATGTCTTGACTTTTTGAATTCATCTGCTAAACGCCTAGGTATTGTATGTATGCTTAAACTTCAAAGCAAAAACCCCTGGTCTACAACCTCTTTACAGCTCATCGTGCACCTCCTCCTTGGGCGGAGGGGGTCCCTGGTGCTGCTCAAACTTCTTCAGAATCTCCTCCAGCTCCTCGTCGGTCGGCGCCTCGCCGTCACCGCCGTACTGGACGTAGCTGCCGCCACCAGGCAGCTCAACGGTGCGGCCAGCTGCTTCCGGCTCGGTGGCGGAGCTCTTGGCGGGGATGGTGGTGGTGGACTTTCCGTTGTCCGACTCGGTGGACGCGGTGGCGGTGTTGGTTGTCGAGGAAGAGGTGGCCGACTTGGTCTTCTTGTTCTTGGCGGCGCTCTTGCTCGCCTTCTTGGACTTCTGCTCAAAGTGCTTGACGCCCTTCATGGCGAGGTCCATGCCCGCCTTGTCGAGCTTATCGCGCTTAGCTTGGAGGTCCTTGACGAGGAGGACGGGGTCGGCGGTCGCGGCGAGGGCGTCCTGCTTCTCCTCCATCTGCTTAAGCCACTTGAGGGTGTCATCGTACAGATCCTCAACGACGTCAATGTCCTCGCGCTTGTACAGAGGAGGGACGGGACCCTTCTCCTTGACGACATCTTCCATCTTGCGCTCCTTGTCCTCGTCGTCTTCGAGGTCGTCAAAGTCGGCAGAGGGAGCGGGAGTCTCCGTGGAAGAAGGGGCCGCAGCGGAGGCCGAGGAATGCCACGCGTCGTACTCGTCAATCTGCTTCTTGATGTTTCCAACGAAGGACTGGGTAGAGTTCAGCGCGTCCTTGAGAGCCTGGATAAGCTCGGGGCGCTTCGCGGCCTCCTCGCTCCTCTTCTGGATCTTGGAGACGGGGTCGTGGAGCTCCTTGTACTTCTTCTTGAGCTCATCCTTGGTGGCATCGGCGCCGTCCTCGTAGAGCCAGTCGCTGGCCTCGCTGTTCTTCTTCTCCAGGGTGGCACGCTCCTTTTCCGTGGAAGCGGCAATAAAAGCCTCGTTCTCGAGAAGATCGCGGACCTTGTACGTGAAACCCTCGAGTTGGTTAAGGGCCTCCTCTCTCAGACGGCGAGCCTTGTCGGAAGCCTCGAATGCCTTGAGGCGATCCTTGGACTTGACCAGCTCATCGCGGGAGATCTCAGGACGGCCGGTCTTCTCGAGAGTGAAGTCGACGGAAATGACGACAAGCTCCTTCTTGGGGGTGGCCTCCTTGCCGTCAGCAGCCGCGTCAGTGGGGACGGGAGAGGACGAGGCGGAGGTAGCGTCAGTCGCGGTAGAAGCGGTGGTGGAGGAAGACTCAGAAGAGGTAGACTCAGACTCAGCGCCATCCTCGCCGTCCATGACCTTCTGGTCCTTCTTGCCAAAACCGAACAGGTTCTTGACGCCGTCAACGAAGCCCTCCTTCTCGGGAGCGTCGGCCTCGCACTCAACAGTGGCCTTGGTCACCTCAACCTCGCCGTTCTCGCTGCTAAGCTTGACACCGACCTTGAAGTGGATGTCGTTGTCAACGCAGGAGTACTTCTCCTTGAGCTGCGCGACGGTGGCGGTGAGGTTCTTGGTAGTCAGAATCTTGGTGTCCTGCTCGGCAGAGTCGACCTGTTGGTAGAACGTGACGGAGAAGTCGTCGTGGTTGGTGAAGGTGACGTCCTTAGCGACACCGCCCTGGGGAGAGATGGGAGACCACAGACGCTGGTGCTGCAGCTTGTCCTTGGCGTTGGTCCACTTCATGCCGGAGGCAAAGTTGGCACCCTCAGAGATGCGAATCTCCTTGACACGGAAGCTGGGGCTCAACTCAGCAGCGCGGAAGCCAGCGCCAAAGACGGCGGACTCATCTGAGTTGACGTTGCTGCGGAGCTTCTCGGCAGAGCCAACGACAGTCTCCAGCTCCTTCTGGACGAAGGGCGTGCGGGAAGCACCACCGTGGAGAATGACAGAGGTGAGGTCGGAGAGCTCGAGCCCGGCCATCTTGAGGGCGTTCTGAACAACAGCACCGACACGAGCGGCGTGGCCCTCGGCCATCTTCTCAAAGTCGGCACGGCTGATCTTGTACCTGAAATCGACGTCCTCGTAGAGACCCTCGAAGCTGGCGCCGGTCTGGGTGTTGGCGCTGAGGACGTGGCGCAAGCGCTCCGCTTCCTTGGTAAGCTTCGCGATGGCGCGGCCGTGAGTCTTGACCTTCTCAGACTGAGCAGAAACCTTCTGCGCGCCCTTGGACTCGACGAACTGAGAGACCATGTCGTCAATGATGAGAGAGTTCAGAGCGTCACCGCCCAGGGTTCTGTCCCAGCCGGAGCCCAGAACGGCAACCTCCTGAACGGTCTTGTTGTACTTGCCAACATCCTTGACGGTACGGCTCTGGAACTTCATGACAGTGGCCTTGGTGGAACCGGCGCCCATGTCGAAGACGAGGTGGTACTCGGGCTTTGCGCCCTCGTTGATGTTGGGGAATTGGCGGGAGGTAGCGTAGTTGAGACCGACGGCGAGACCGTCGCTGATGAGGCTGAGAACCTTGAGACCGGCGAGGTCAGCAGCGGCCTGGATGGCACGCTTCTCCTCAATAGTGAAGTAAGGAGGCACGGTGAGGACCATGGAACGGACGGCGGTTCCGGCACCGGCAGCGACCTCGGCGTTCTTCTGGATCGCCTGAAGCTCCATGGCCAGCAACTCCTCGACCAGCCATGCCTCCTCCTCCTCGGTGAAAGACTTGCTCTTAAATGCAGCTGTTCCTCGCTCCTTGTTCTTCTCGAGCTGCAGGGCGGGGTGTCGGGCAGCGTACTCCTGGACAATGGGGTGGTCGACGGTGAGACCAAGGATGGTCTTCAGGTTGGGGTAGACATCGTGGGGGAATCTGGCGGCGAGGGCGACGGCGTCGGAGCCGTAGAGTCTCTCGGGGAAAGATCCGGACTTGGGGCCGCTCGAGAGGGGCTTGAAGGTGACGGCGGAGATCTCCTTGCGGCGGGAGTCCTTGGTCAGGACAATGTCGAGAGGAATGCCAGGCTTGACCAGGGCGGCCTTGATGTACTCGGTACCAAGGTCAACACCCAGGACTGCAGAGACGGCAAAGACCTGGGCAGAAAAGAAGAAAACGCAGCCGAGGAGTATCCTCAACGGCGAGGGCATTCGTTGCGCCATTGTGTGGGTGGGTTGCGCCCAAGGGCGCTGCGTATACGGTTATTCGTAGAGACGGGTTCGGTTGGTGGTGCCTACAGGGACTGCTGGATAAGTCCCGGCGGGAGGCTTGGGAGACTCGACTGCGCGGTGGGTGTAGAGAACGAGACGTAAACAAAAATAAGAGCGAGACAAGAAAGGAAGGGGAGGTCTCGTCGCAGTTATGACCCAGAAGCAGAGAGGATATGGACAGCACGGAGGGTCGTCAAAAAAGAGACGTGAAGGTGTCCTCTACTGGATTCGCTGCGGTGCCATCCCCAGATGGGTCCTGCTCGGCAAGGTTAGTGGTCCCCTCGTGCTAATGGCTTACCTGTCCAGGCGAAGAGGACAGCTGTAAGAAAAAAAAAGTTGTGGCGCAAACTCCCGGCAAGCTGCAAGGCTGAATACCCGATAAGCACGCGATTGGCGCGATAAGCTTTAGGCCCGGGAGTTGGCGGTGGCTCCCCGGCGATGAGTGGGGCTCTTGGACTCGGTCAAGCCACAGTTAAGGGGCCGACGCCGAGCTTCCATCGCATAAGTCTATGTCAACAATGATGCTCTCACGGACGAGACATTACCTAAAGGTTACGTGACTGATGACACCATTCAAAGCGGTCAGTAGCCGCGGGCATTGAAAAACTCGTTATTGCGCCTGTTTGCATTGTACTCGAGACGGGTTTCTCTTGGGTTCTTGCTGGCGGATCAGGGCAGCTGCAGAAGGTGGCCCGTACAAAGCCACATGGAAGCTTCGCGATTCTTGCTAGGAAGAACCCCGGACGCTGGGGCATGGGTTGAACTGCTCTGCCCATTACAGTTTGGGACGGCGGAGGTTCAGGGCCGTAGGTAATCCAGCCAAGACATTCGTTGTCAACCTGGTACTAACACAACCCCACTCACCATGCAAGTTTACGTGAAAACATGCAAATGATGGCTGGTAGAGTTCAAACTTCGAGAGAGAATCAATTTTGCGCATTTTCAATACTTGCACTAAACGTTGCTTTTATTCTCTTGAGGACCAATGTTGAGATCTGGGTTTGGCCAGCCACTATCTTTGACTTTCATTATTGGAGATCGCGGGGTAGCAAAGCTGCAGTGGGGCAGCTAATGGCGGGGTCAAGATGCAGTCGCTGAGCTCACTGGAGAGCAAGTCCGTCACTCTACCAACTCCATCTGTGCTAAACTGTTTGGCTTGAAGCAAGCTTACGAAGAAAAAACATCTTCATCTTTTTCAAAACTTGAAATTACATTGAGGTGCTCAAAGATCACCGAAAACCTTCTCTCCTGTCCCTTGCCTCGGTTCTACCCCACTATCCAGCATGGGGCCGGTTGACAACGAAGTCAAGGGCCGGCTTGCTCTCGTCACCGGCGCTTCTGGTGGGTAAGGAATGCCGTCAGTCTTTTTTTACATAACCAAGTTCTGAATGTGTGTAGAATTGGAGGTGCCTGCGCCAGAGAGCTCTTTGCCAATGGGGCGCACTTGGCCCTGACCTGTTCGTCTGAAGGTACCCGGAGCAAGCTCTCGGACCTTCAAAACAACCTCCGCTCAGAACAGACTACGGACAGGCGAATATCGTGTCATGTGGTCGACATGTCTTCATCCAAAGGCATCGAAGAGCTTTTTGCACAAATCCTCGACGAGCACGGGCAACACCCCGACATACTCGTCTCTAACGCCGGCACCGCTGGCTTCAATAACAAGGCAAACCCGCAGCTGGAGAACATCTCTCTCGAAGAGTTCGACTTCACCTACTCCATCAACCTCCGCGCCTCGTTTCTGCTCTGTAAACTCGCTATGCACCACATGGCTAAGCAGCATTGGGGCCGCATCATCTTCGTGTCGTCCATCTCTGCAATTGGGGGCGGCATTAATGGCTGTCACTACGCCGCTAGCAAAGCCGGACTGACTGGGCTAATGAAAAATCTGGCTTCCAAGCATGCCAAGGACGGGGTCACGCTGAATGATGTGGCGCCGGCCATGATTGGCGAGACGGGCATGATACCCGACGAGAAGCGCGTCGAGGGCACGCCGGGAGATGTGAAGAACATCCCCGTTGGCAGATTGGGAACCCCGCAGGAGTGCGCTAATGTCGTGATCATGCTGTGCAAGACTGGATACTTGACGGGCCAGAGTATCTTGCTAAGCGGCGGTCTGAAGTGAACTCAGCACACGGACTCTGCCATGCCCGCAGAGAGTCTACGACGGCTCATTCTTCTATATTAATATCTTTAGTAATTTCCTTCCAGAACCCACGAGTCTCTGTGGTGAATGATAACTAACCGTGCAGTCTGTCTGCCTCATCAAATTCTAACATTTGAGTCGGACGTTGCCTTGAGATGCCGAGGACTTTTCAAACAAACTCGACAAGTGTTTTCTTCAGGACTTTCTTCTCAGAGCCTGTAGCTTGAAACGTCTCACCGTACATCATTCCATGAATATAGCATGACCCAAGGATGCGGTACTTCCGTTGATCCCCAGCGATTGGCCTTATTATCAGAGGCGGTTGAACAGTGGGAATAACACAAATCAAGTCGCCGGGTTGAATCAGAGGTGTCCCGGTTCCGCTAAATCACAGGCTTCAATGTCAGTAATGCTCGAGGTTGCATGCGCACTTGCATTTCAAAAGTTCCAGCAAATAAACAGATCACTTACCAAAATCCGCCCTTGGTTGTGAAGAATTTGTCACCATTGCAGCATCTCACAGCCCGCTCCACAAACGAAACGGTCCGCGGATCTGCCGCTGAATTCCACGTCCGGAGCCAGCTTTCCCGACTCAGGTAGTCGTATATGAGTGGGCATTTCGCCCGACAATGCTCCTCAAAGCTGCGAGCGATTGCTCCGCTTCTCGGAAGCTTGCTCTCAGTTTGTACGGCATGTAAGAGTGTGCAAGCAAAGGCAAGGGCTTTGTCGGGATACGCCAGTCCAACGTCCACCTCCGTCTTCTCCAAGATCCCCCAATACTCCTGTATGATGCTCGGCTCTTGGGAGAGAAGAGACCTCGCAAGGTCCACGCTGATCTTGACCTCCTCTGCCGAGTTGTCGTCTTCCTCGGTACGCTCTCTTCCAATCACCGTCCCGCATATCTCACCACAGAGATGAATGCTGTCAAGGATGTATGCGTAAACCTGAAGAGATGAACCCTGTACATCAGATCCTCTTGAAGTCTGTTCCACGCCCCGAGAAGCGTCATATCTGCTATTGATCGTCCAGTGTCGTCGGCTGTTCAACCGAGGGCACCACGAGGGCCCCTCAATCAGGTCTTTAGGAAATCGATGCCAAATTAGGCCTAGAAACCGCAGGGAACGGGAGCTCATCTGCGAGTATAGGCACAACTTCAGCTCTGCTAACGTCCTGGTATAATCAGCCTCGATCAGAAGCTCCCCATCGCCCGACCTCGCACGCGGATGCCCGAGGAAGGCATATACGAGATCCCTCTTATCCGTAGCCCGCTGTCCGCCCCTCGCACGGAAAAGCACATCCTCAAGTTCCAACACGCCGCCGTCCTTCTGCAGCCGCGCAATCCTCTTCAGAATGTGCGAGGACGAGTACCACGACCTCTCAACGTCCTCCGTGAACGTCGCCCAGACGAACCGGAACAGGCTGATGATGTGGCCCGCCTTGAAGACGAGGCCGCGCGTGATCTGGTTATTCCGCACCCACGCCGCGACGAAGTCCAGGACCTCGGTGAAGTCCACCGTCGACCTGCCGTACGCGAGCAGCGCGCGTCGGGCGAGCCCGACCTCCTGGAGCACCCAGACGCGCTCGAACCAGGGGCGGTTCAGCATGTCCACGGCGCTCTGCAGCCGCGCTCGCGTGACGGGGCCGTAGCTGCCATCCGGGGGCGCCCATCGCTTGATGGTGTGAGGCGAGATTTCAAAGTGTCTCATGTGCTTTGCGGCGACGAGGTTGAAGTCGCGGATGACGCTGAACGCTTCTTCTGCGGCGCGGCCGTCTTGGTCGTCGTCGCCGAAGCAGATGAGTACTTGTTTGGCCTGGGAGTAGATTTCGCCCATAATGTTGACTTGGGAGCTCTTCTCGAACTTGTCATGCTGGTTCATGCAGAGGGCGTCGACCCAGAGGTGACTCTGCTTGGTGGGGTGTCTGACTTGGCGCAGGGCTTGGAAGAGGTTCGTAGTGACGGCTACTGAGACTCCATGGCAGTTTATAGTCTGGACCTCGTCGAGGTTTCCCCAGACATAAGAAATTGCTTCATAAGGCTCTATCAAGGCGACTGATTAGCAAACTTGGTTTCATACATAGTCATAGTCCACACTATTCTGGATCATCACCTGTGTCGTAGAATGCTACGGAGCGTAAAGAGCACTTTATAGGGTCCTCGAAAGTTCCCGGTTCAAGAATCAAGATTCGAGTCCATTTTCCAGGTGGCAGAGGCTCGTAACACAAGAGTGTGCCCATGGCCTCAGCCATCTTGCGCAGAGGAGACTTGGCAATCGCGAAGATGCCGGTTCGAGGAGGTGCTTAGCCTATTCTGGCCATGAGACGAGATCTCACTTGTAGTTGGTAGAACTGCATGCAACTAGGGCCCACGCTGCAGGGGCATTGCACCCTATCAAGACACATCTAATAGTTCTCTCACCCACAGCTGCAGTTGTCTCACAGATCCACGATTGAAATGCGCCATTCTGGGAGATCTCTGCAATTAGAGCCTGGCCCTAAAGAAAACAAAAAGACTGGTTCTATGCTTCTTTTGTTGAAAAGACTAGGTGAATGTATGATTTGGCGCCTCAAGCAGTCTTAAACTTGAATAGAAAGTGTGAAATGTTCATTCTCATGTATGTCCTGCTTAGACAGAGAGAAAGCGGGGGTTGAGACAGCAGAGGGGAAGAGTATGAATTCTAGTACAGACAGATGTTTTTGTTAAACTCGTCTGACTGACATACATCGCCTCGGAAATCGTAGCCGTAGTGCCACATGAAAAGTAAGCGGTCTCATGATCGTCAACATCGGCACGACCAAACTTGTCTGAGCGGCTTACTCAACGCGGGGTTGCAGAAGCCGCGGTCAAAAGCATGCACCAGCATTATTAATCTCACTGCTCCAATCCAACTTCGAACTGCCTCATTCACATGCCTGTATCCAAATTAGTGACTATTTGAAAACAACTTGCAAAGGGGCACCAGACCCGTAAAAAGATCCATAAACTCACATCCTTGATTTAATCCAACAACACGTCCAGTGCAGACACAACCATGCCTCTATACGAAGTCGCCCACGCAACTCCTTTGAGCCAGCCCCAGCAAGACGCCCTCGCCGAAGCAATCACAGAACTCCATAGCAAGAAGTTCACCGTCCCGCGCATGTTTATCAATGTCGTCTTCGTAGACACCTCAAACACGCCGACATACGTTGGCGGCAAACGGGTTTGTTGACACCTTTGGTACCTCACCCCAGACAGCACTAACACAATAGCATAGCGTCATTCGAACCGCATCACAGGCCGCACCCGCAAGGGCTCGCGCACTCGAGATGATTTCAATGCCCTCTGCGGGGAGATCCGCGCTGCGTGGGCACGCATAGTTCACCCAGACGTCGCAGATGGAAAGCTGCCGCCACCAGAGCTTGAGCTGAGAGCCGTCTTCATCACAGGCGAGCTCATTGCAGGTATGAAGGCCAGTTTCATGACCCCGGCCGCCGGAGAGGAGCTTGCGTGGGCCAAAGAGAACTACCACGCATTCGAAGAGAGGGCGCACGCGGGAGACGAGGATTTTGTGGATTTGGTTTCTGAGCTTCGGACGTGGCCTGGGTTTGATGTTGCGCGCTGACGAGGTTGTATCGAATGATGAATTGCTCAAGACAAAACGTTCTCTCGTTAAGTTCGTTCAATTATGATTATGGCTGATAGCCTCTGGTAACTGGTCTACTATGTGAGGCATACGCCATTTTACTTTCTTTCTTGAATCTTCTCTCATGCCAGCGTCAAGGGCGCGTCTTCGTTCATCAGTTTCATTCGATTGGTGATCTGAAACTCTCTGGATTAGATCCATGGGCGAGTTCGCAATGATTCAGCTTGAAGATGTCAGATGATTTCGAAAGGCACTGTCCCAAATCTTGGATCGAGACGTACCCTGACAGACTAATGTCCTTGTATCGGGATCATCCGACACCAGTTGCTCCCTGGCTTCGTTCCTTAGAAGGACGTTTGCAACGCCCAATTTATGAGGCGTTTATTTTCATGGCGGTCATATCGTTCTCCCTTGCCGCGGGGTATTCGCCTTTTCGGCAAGCTTAGTAACAATCACCAGTCGTTCCGATGAGGCCAATCTTCCTTAGAGTCTTCTGTCTCGTCGACGACTTTCCGCGGCCACTCAGGACATATGTCGATCTTATCTCGCGGGAACCAAAGCTCCAGAAGAAGAAAGAGGAGGTAGTCGATGATGCAGACGAGGCAAAAGAGTTTGCCAGCCCAGATACCACAACCGTAGTACCGCTTTAGCCGATCGATGAGCGCGAATGAACGCACTCGACTGGCGCCGTTGGCAGCGTCAACACCGTAGAATTCGGCCTCGCTCAACTCTCCAGAGATACCGTGGTAAACTCGCTCTGTTCGAAGGGCTACATTCGTCCAAGAATACATCTTTTGGACTTGCTCGTGGAAACGCTCCGTCCGCACCTTATTGGCCCTCAGAGCAGCAATAGCCTTTCCGGTCGCGAAAACGAGGTCGTCTTCCTCTGGTTTTGCGAACACGGTCATATGTGATGGCAGCACCTCGGGGATGCCTCCGACTTGGGTGCACACGACATACAAGCCGCAGCTGGCTGCTTCAACAATGACGGTTCCGAAGGCTTCAGTCAAGCTGGGGTGTAGGTAGATGTGGCCGCGAACCATGACGTCCCGCACCTCTTCGTGGCGGATAGGCCCTAGCATCTCTACCCTGTCTTGTAAGACATTCTGCTCAATCATCTGCTCAAGGTCAATGGCCTTGGGGCCAGAGCCGGCAATGATGAACCTCGTGTTGGGGTGGTTTTGAAGAATACTGGGAATGGCGGCAGTCAAAAGATCTGTGCCCTTATTGTAGAATAGACGAGATATGACTACAATAGTGATCATATCGTTCGGGCCCAGATGATGAGCTGGGGGTGGGTTTTGCCCGAAGGACTGTCCGGTCTCGGTGGACGGGTAGTCGAGGGGGCGAAAGTTCTCGGCGACGACGGCGTTCGGGATGACTGAGACCATCAGAGGGTCAAGTGATGCTCGCAGAACAGTGTTCTCTTTGCTGCGTCACTAAATTAGCTTGGGTGTAGGAGAAACGATACGCGGCGCAAACATACCAGGTGTGGCTGACACAGACGACGTGGTCCACGTCGCTGAGGGAGAACTTGAGGATCTTGTTCGTCAAGATGCTGGTAGCATCCGCGAAGCCAAACAGCGAGTGATCTGTGAAGACGGTACGCAAACCCATGGTCCTACCATGGAGAATGGCCTCATGACACAAAGTACTCAAGCTCGCATGGCCGTGGACAATTTCGATCTGCTCTCGGATGAGGATGTTGCGCAGGATAGGGAAGGCCGAGAAGACGGTCGGGAAGGTCGCGGATCGGAAGACAACGAAGAAAGGGACATGATAGACCCTAATTCCGTTGGTCAAGTTGCGCACGCCGCTGCGGCCCTCGTATGAGTGGGTGATGATGATGACTTTGTGCCCGCGATCGATCAGCTTGGTCGACAGCTGGTAGATGTGACTTTCGACTCCTCCTGGCTGCGGAAAGAAGAAGTCGCTGACCATGGCAATATTGTATGTTCGAGCCATGTTGATCGGCTAGTGCTCGGCGCGAGCATCTGTCACCTCCAGAGATATTGACGGTGCATTGTACGCGACCAGATCGCGCATCCGTCGTCGCATTCGCGAGTGATGCAGTAGGGAGGCATCTCAATGACCTGCTAACTCACTACCCCCCCTACTGACGTTAAGCTCTAGCGTGGGTAGGGGGCATCTGCTTCACTGCGATAAGAAGTTTCGGGCAGGTGGTATAAGGCGGCAAAATCGCGATAAGCAACTGCTCCCAACTTTTTTTCGAGACTTTGCGCCAGGTGCCCCTCCGACTTGCCTTTGTAGCCAAGCTGCGCAAACCTCCAAATTGGTCCGAACAGGTTCGCGAAGGCGCAATTGACAAGATGTACGCCCGTTACGTGCCTCCAAAGAAAAATGCGGCTGCAGCACCTCCCGTGGCGGCGCCGCCTCCGCCGCGCGAACCAACACCTCCTGCTCCAGAACCAGCACCCGCGATGAACGACGCAGTCAGGACGGGAGAGAACACCGCCAGCCCGTATGCACGATATGTTCCCTCAAAGAAGCCGAAGTCGCGACCGTCGATTGTTAGTGTAGCTCCGGAGGACGCGGAAGCTTTGTCTCCTGCGATGAAGCGCAAGCACGAGGTCGAAGTCGAGGCCGAGGTCGAGCAGGAGACGCCGGCCAAGAAGAAGAAATCCAGAAAGTCGGAAGAAGTAGCGCCGTTGGACGACATGGATGTGGACACGCCGAAGAAGTCCAAGAAAGAAAAGAAAGAGAACAAGGAGAAAAAGAACAAGAAAGACGATTCAGAGGAGCCACAAGTTGACGCCATGGATACCCACGCAGACGACGAGGACGGCGAAGGAGGGGAGGCGGGGGAGAAGAAGAAGAAAAAGAAGAAGAGGGATTCGGACAATGCGGATGGACGCGATGACGAAAACGTCGAAGAAGTAAAGGAAAAGAAGGACAAGTCTAAAAAGAAGAAGAGGAAAGACGAAGAGATTGCCGAGGAAGACGACGCCGTCGCAGCGCGACACAAGAGCGTTCTGTCCAAGGCATCCAAGTACCTCAAAAAGGCTGCCGACGGTTCCCACGACGAAGATCCGGAGAAGATGGAAGTGGACGAGGAAGGAAAGGAAGAGACGGAAGAGGTGGAAGAACACGGCCTCGAACCCCTCCCGCAACCCGAGCCCGTCGCTCTCGATACCTCGAAACCCTCCTACGAGACGCTGCCACCCTGGCTCGCTGCGCCCATTCGAGTGGCGCCTGACACGCGGACGCCGTTCTCTGAGATTGGCATCAACCCGAAAGCAGCTCAAATCTTAGAATCGAAGGGATTCAAGGATGCCTTTGCCGTCCAGACCGCCGCCGTTCCGCTACTTCTACCGTCTTGCAAGCACCGTCAAGGCGATCTCCTCGTCGCGGCTGCAACTGGTTCCGGAAAGACGCTGGCATACGCTCTTCCCATTGTGCGGGACATCAGTCAAGGTGCTGTCACGAGGCTCCGCGCTCTTATTGTCTTGCCGACGCGTGAGCTTGTCAAACAGGCGCAGGAGGTTTTTGAGCTGTGCGCCGGCGCATTCGATGGTCGTGACCAGAAGAGAGTGCGCATAGGAATCGCCATTGGTAGTCAGCAGCTCAAGTACGAGCAAACAAATCTCATCGAGAGGGAAGAAAAGTACGACCCTGAGGCCTACCAAGCTGCGAACCAGCGGGAGCTCGAGGCGTGGAAGGATGTTGAGGAGGTAGACCCTGAGACCGAAGATTCCACGAGCAGAGTGAAAGCTGGCTCGTTGCCTGATCACATCGTAGACTACACCTCCAAGGTTGACGTTCTGATCTGCACTCCCGGTAGACTGGTCGAACACATCAATCTTACCCCAGGATTCTCCCTGGACTACGTGCGTTGGCTGGTAGTCGACGAAGCCGATAAGCTCCTGGCGCAGAGTTTCCAGGGCTGGCTGGACGTCGTCATGCCCAAGGTGCGGACGAAGAAGTTCAGCGCAAGAGACTTCCCCGACTCCAACCTCTCTGGTGTACGCAAGGTTGTTCTGAGTGCAACACTTACGCGAGACTTGAGCCTGCTAAGCGGGCTGCAGCTTCGCCGTCCTCAGCTCATTGTCCTGGAGGGCGAGAAGGCGGATGGCACTGCACCAATCGCCGAGCACACTCTGCCCACGCTGCTGAAGGAGTCTGCCATCAGAGTCCACGATGCCAACCTCAAACCTCTGTACCTTATCGATCTGCTATTGGGCGGGCATCTGATGTCCGAAGCCAGCTCCAAGGCGGAGGCCACTCCTACAGCAGAAGACGACGACGACACGTCTTCCTCGGACGGGTCCTCCGATACCTCATCAGACACTTCTTCAGAGGCAGATTCGGACACCAGTTCAGAGGCAGACTCCGACACTTCCTCAGACTCAGACAGTTCCTCAGACGCCAACCCCACACCCTCCAAGCCTCCGAGAAAAACACCCGCAGCCTTCACAACGACGGCCCTAATCTTCACAAAATCAAACGAGTCCGCTCTCCGTCTCTCCCGCCTAATCTCCCTCCTCCACCCTTCCCTCTCGCCCTTCATCGCAACCCTCACCTCGACCCAAAAGACGTCCGACCGTCGCCGCGCCCTCCGCGCCTTTGCCTCGCGCCGCCTGCGCCTGCTGGTCGCATCCGACCTCGTCGCCCGCGGTATCGATCTGCCACAGCTGGACAACGTCATCAACTACGACCTGCCCGCCAGCGCCGCCGGCTACGTCCACCGCGTCGGCCGTACAGCTCGTGCGGGACGCGCCGGCGCGGCGTGGACTCTGGTTGAGGACGGCGAGAGCGGTTGGTTCTGGGGCAAGATTGCAAAGGCCAGCAGCGGGATCCGGCGCGCGGCAAAGGTCGATCGCTTGCGCATCGGCGACCCGGAGAGCGGTGGGTTCGCGGACGAGAGGGTACAGGAGTACGAGGATGCGCTGGAGAAGTTGGGCAAGGAAGCCGGCGAGGCTAGGAGGCACAGGTAGTGCATTTGTTGTAGAATTTGATAATAATACCATTCCAAAGCGTTTTGAGAATCCATGTGCCTTTGTTTCTGTACTGCGATCACACACTACACATGCTTTTGAACTCGCTTGAATTGCAGATGGTTTCTATATCGATGTTATACTTTGGGCGACATCTATCTAATTGAACACTTCAAACGACTCGAATAGACACGGGCTTGTCACAGTATGGCACGCAAATCAAGCTTCATCTCCAAGACCTACCATGGAATCTCCCTCCCATCATACAAAAACAACTTGCCGCTGTCCTCAACCCCCAACCCACCCAGCAACTTCAAAATACCCCCAGCACAATCCGCAACCTCGACCTTCGCCCCAGGACCCCCCGACTTCGTCTTGACGTGCCCAGGATCAACCGCAACCACAACCACGCCCCGCCCCTTCAGCTGCATCGCCTGGTGCACCGTAAGCATGTTCAGCGCCGCCTTGCTGATGGCGTACGGCGTCAGCTCATGCGGACACACGCCGCTGGTCACCCACCCGAAGCTGCCGGCCCCGGACGTGATGTTCGCCACGACGGTCCTTCTGTCTTGCTGCTCGCAGTCGTGGAAGAACGGGAACAGCACCTGCAACGTCCGCGCGGGCCCGACGACGTTGGTGGTCATGTGCGTCTCCAGCGCCGCGGCGTCGAGGCTCAGCGCCCTTTGCTCGGTGTTCTGCAGCGTCGCGGCGTTGTTGATGAGCACGTCGATCTTGTTGGGACCATCGCCCACCGCGGCGGAGACGCGGGAGGGCAGGGCGGCGAGGGATTCTGGCGAGGAGATGTCGCATTCGAGGACGTGGACGGCGCCTTTGCGGTCGGGGGAGGCTTGGATGGCGCGGAGGCGGGCGAGGTCGGCGGCCAGGGAGCGGACGAGGGCAAGGACTGTGGTGGCGGGGCGGAGGCTTAGCTGGGCGACGTATTCGAGGCCGATGCCGTCTCTTGCGCCGGTGATTACGTATGTGGGCATGGCTTGATGTGGGATGTTTCTGACTTGGGCTTTGGGTTTGAGGCTTGGGTTGCACGGTGATGTTGCCAAGGCTGTGGAGGATAGCAGGTAGGCTTTTATGGTGAGCGTGGCTGATTATTTTCGTGGTGTTTTTGATTCCAAATTTAAGGATGCTATCCAATAACGGATGTCACATGTGTAGTCTGACTTGGACGCGGATTTCATATTCCTGTTGCTCTCTGTAAGCTGTCTTCGCATTGCGCTTGAAGGCTGCACGAAGATGACGCTTGGTGGGAGAACATCACCACGAGGTGGATTGGTAATGCGTAAGCATCTTCAGCGGCATGGTAAATAGGCTAAATAGAGTTCTGAAGAAAGGATTCGGCAAGTGGTATGCCATTGGAGAGATGACAATGTAAGCACGCGACATGCGGCTCGGACTGAATTGCGATGGAATGATGCCTGTCAGGCGCCGGAGCTTTCACCTTTTGACTCTCAGCTGCATTGTTCACTTATTCTTCATACTCATTCGGCTCTTTCGGTGTCATCAAGGGTAATCTTACCAGATCTACTGTGGTCGAAGGCGTCACCCTAGCTAGCATGGCCGGTCTTGGTGGAAACCCGGCACCTGCAATGTAGGCCCCGGCGTGTGCACGGTGTCCGGGTCCGTAAATGCGGGTCCCTTCCGGTCGGAACGGAGCCGGATGTTGATATGCGCGGGCCGGATCAGCTTGTTCCGCTTCTCAGCCTATGTCGATCGGGCTAAGCTGATGAGGCCATCTCGTAAACGAGTGTTCACAGACTGTTCCTTTTGGCACCTCATGCACGGTCTCACGACGCCTCGAAGCTGGATCTTACCCCTTTCTCTCCCCCCTACTTCAGCACCTTACCCAAACTATCAAAGCAAGGGAGCGGAAATAATTTTCTTGGATCCATTTGCCTTCGTACATCGTTTGCCTCGTTCAACGCTGTGCGTACTGACACAGCCTCCAACGACTCCAAAGCCAAGACCCAGCTAGGAGTCGGCAAAGCTGCCAGCCGGGCAACATTATGTATAGGCACATTAAGACCCTTCCTTTGTGTTGGCGGTGTTTGTCCGGTACTTGGGCAGAGTCGGTCTGGCATCGCTTGGCGCGGGCGGCGAAAGCGTTGGCAGAGCGAGGCACAGAGGCGGTCGGGGTCCCTTAGCTTGGCCGGGGGTTAGTTGGCTGGAAAGGCAGACCGCCACAAGCCACAGGGTTCACAACCATTGAAAATTGAGCATCAAACTTCAAGATCTTGAGTTTGAGGGGGAGCTGGAGTTGGAGGTGTTGGTCGGTAGTGTCTTCCGAGTTCAAGGTTAGAATTCAGCCTGACGTCAGAGGGGTTACCCCTGCGATTTGCTAAGGAGCTCAGAGTTTTCCTGAGGGTTTGACAGGCGCAACAGGCTATCAAACACAGCTTCATTTTAGAAGCGTCTTGGCAAACAGCATTATCGTAGCTGGCAGCGCCAGCATCGCGATGTGGGAGGGCACGTGTGAATGCTCTGTTGTTTGGATGGGTGCCCTGCCAAGACGCTGTATTCGCTGGAACTCTGCCTCCCCTCTCGCTTCAGGTAATCCGTGAGTTTGGCGGCCTGTTTTGTGGTAGTGCAGGTGTTGAGTGCACCACACCCAGCATGTGTTTCTGTGTGATTTGTGTGATTTGAATGATGTCAAACTTGGTCTTGGCAGGCGGTGTGTTGTGCAAAGAAACAACGCAAGGGAAAAACAACAAATCGGAGGTGACGGGGATAATCAGTGAGACGACCAAGGGTGGCAGTGCAAGAAGATTGTCCGTCCGCCGGGCGATTTTGTGGCATCGTCATTCAACAGTAGAATGGATATCCATCCATCCCTCTCTCCGGGGCGGCAGTTGCCATCGACCTGACGGGTGGAACCATCAGGCCTACTTCCCGCCTTTTCTTTTTGGCTTTTGGAGGTGAAGTTCCGGTTGGGTGCAGCTGGTCGGTGACGATGGCAGGTTCCAGGGGTGTCGCCGGCTCCGCGGATTGTTGGTGTGGACTGGGCCCAGCATCAGTTGGAGACGCTGAGTTCAGCATCTGAGCCTTTCTGGCGCATCTCTCGAATGCCAATCCTTCTCCAGTTTCAAGAAAGATGAGTGATTTCGATGATCCAATGACGGTGTTGGATGGATGACGGAGAGTTCTGGCAAGATCAGACCAGGTCCAGGTCATGGTGGATGCTGGGATGGCATGGCTGCTCAGTGGAAGCTAGATCATCAAGCTCTCGCCTCACCTCAACCGCTGGCCATGTGCGGGACAGCATGCACCGCTGCATCGGAAGAAAGGGTGCTGGGTAGCATGGCGGCAACAACGTGGGGACGGGCATGCGGATCCCTTTCGCGGGAGGGGAGGCCGGTGTGATGGCCTATTGATGTTAGGGTGATGTGTGTTGGGTAACTCGGGTTTCAATGTTTCTCGCGCTTGCGCTTTCTCAAATCTTTGCAGAAACCTCCCCGCCGGACTCTGACTCTGCAGAGCACTGGACGACATGGCAAGAGCTAACCTCGGGGCTTTGCTGCCAAGGGCCGGACTGTGGCTCATGTTTGCGGTCGGCGGCCTCTTTCGCCAATGTCTCGGCGAGCGGCTCATTGTTTCTCGCGAAAGCCCATCAGTCCACTCACTTACTGCCTGCCCTGATGCCCAGAGCTTCGCTTCGGGTGCTCCAAGCTCCCGTCCCGTCCTGCTTCCATTGCTACTGCTCTCGTCTGCTGTGTCTGCCATCTTATCGCTTTATCTAAGCATCCGAGGCATTTCATGGAAGGTGGGTGTCATTTTGGCTGCAGCTTGGCGTCACTCTGCCGAGGAAAACAACAAGGAAAAGTTGTAATAGCTACTAGCTTGCCAGAACACTTTGTACGCATGAGAAAACGACTTCCTCTGAATACTGACCCAACCTGGCTTAGAGGCCGCTGCAAGGCAGCACGAGCCAGCCATCTAACTCGAAAGATGAGTTTGAATCATTTTTTAATTCCACGGTGGCTTGGCGCCCCCTTTCGTGTATTTTGTCGTCAAGTCATGTATGAGCAGCGCATTTCTCGCTACAATTACCTGGGTCCATGATCCATCATGATTGATTGATCGCTTCTCTCCCGTCCCTCCCCTGCCAGCACGCTGATGAGCGCTTCTTGGCATCATCACCTGGCCAAGCCGTCGCTCAGCAGCCAGAGGTTCCTCTGCAGCTTTACGTATAAGGCGCCAGTGAGCTTCCTTGGCAGCTCCAAATGCTTGGCAGCACCATGCTTTTGGTCTGGCTACTTTCTGGGGCTGTGCCTAATGAGCCAAGCCAGCCCAATGGATGGCCCAGCCAGTTGATATCTCATCACCCGAGCCAGACTTTAGGAGTGCGAGAAGTGGGCGCCGGATGCATGTTGTGGCCCAGCAGCCGAATCTCTCTTCCTCCCAAAGTCCTTCTACTCTCCGTCGACTCCCTACCCAGGTAGTCTCTGAAAACCGAGTGGTCTCGTTACCTGACCTGCCTGACCTGATTGCTGTCTTTTGGCAGGTGCTTGTTGCCATCGTTGCTACCATCTCCTGTTATCCGTACTGCACACCCATCGGCGCCTTCCAGTAACACCTTCTGGAATAACATCATTCACCCACGTCACCGACCTACCTTGGGTTGCCATCGTGACTTTTGTACCGCCTCGCCAGTGGGCTGTTCATCGAAACTGCCGCCGGTTCCTTCTCGTTTTCGGAACTTCAGCTCCCAACCTTACACTACACGCCTTCACCTTGTCAGTTTGCGCCAGATAATTACCGCCAGGTACCGGTCTGAAGAAGGTTTGCAAAGCCACCACACCTTCGATATTGACCCATCAAACGGCCCGCTCCCCAGATTTTTGTCCCTCGACAAAATACGGATCACCGCTAAAGCATCACTCGCCACTTATTCACAGCAAGCGGTCTCCCTGGACCGTCAGACAACTCCATTTGAATACCACTTGGTCTCCCTTCTCCCTCGCATAACGCCCCCAAAGCATGGACGCTGAGAGACCGGAATACCCTCTTCGATTTTTCAGAACCTCTGGCTCTGTTTGATTGCTCACTAGCTCACCAACTTCGCCCGTCTTACATACATCACCTTCCGGCTTTGTTTGCGCGCGACCACATTCACCGTTTACCTGTGGCCATCCTTTCAGCAAGTGTCCGAAAACGACGAACGCCGAGACTGCCACGCCAACAAAAACAAAAGAGACAACACCTTTTTTTTCTTTTCCTCTTCCTCATTTATCCTGAGCTCCATCACCTTTGCAGCGATCACACGAGGAAAGAGGAAATACGAGGCATAAACCACCAGCATCATGGCAAGAGGCCCCTCTCCGCTGAGGCGGCCTAGAGCGCCTACCATCACACTCGATACCTCCGCCGTCAACGATCAAGGTATGACGCCATGTCGCATTCCACCCCTGGATCGCTCTCCGAAAGAAACCAAAAAAAGTTCGCGTCCTGGGTGTAAATACTAATGAACGCGTCGACATGCAGAAAACGACCACTCATCATCGTCACCGTCCTCAGACCACGGCGATGAAGTGAACAACACGTTATCAGTGCCCACAAGAAAGTCACGCTCAGGATCATGGGACTCCAATAACACGACATTGGCCAAATCTAAAACAAACGACGGCACCGACAAGGGATCCCCCACCGTCCAGCTGTCCGGCTCGCCGAAAGGTTTCGGGGATAACCCAGACGCCCTGGCCCCGAATCCCGGCGAGGAGGCATCATTTAACGTCCAAAACAACCCATTTGCCTTTTCACCTGGCCAAGTATCAAAGCTAATTAACCCAAAAAGTTTAGACGCGTTTGTCGCCGTTGGAGGTTTGGCTGGCTTGGAGAAGGGTTTGCGGACGGACAGACGCGCCGGTCTGAGTTTGGACGAATCGCGCCTCGACGGCAGCGTCAGTTTCGATGAGGCAGTTGCCCTTGGAAAGAAGATCCAGTCGCCGACGGAAGCAGTATCGACGGACGCACTGCAACA